AGGCTAAAAGCCTATAAACTTAACTTACTACTATACTAGAAGGTCTATTTAGTAGTATTAACTATATAGCTATAGAAAGTATTAACTAGTAATAACCTTTTTAAAAGAGAGTAGTTACCCCTAGAGCTAGTAAAAGTAGATAGTATAAAAGAATTTAAAGTTAAAAAGATTATAGACTATAAAGTTAACTAGTAAAAGAATTACTTATTAGTTAAGTATTTTATTAAGTAAAAGAAGTACTTACTAGTATTTAATATATAAAAACCTTATAAAAACCTTATACTTAACACTAGTAATATTATAACTAACTTTAAGAAGGCTAACCTTATTAATTAAGTAGTAAAGTATATAAAGAAATAAGGCTAAAAGCCTATATTAGTAGACTTCTTATAGACTTACTATAGTTAGTACTAAAATAGTTATAATACTTTATAATAATATAGAGAGAAACTTAGCCTTATACTTTATTCTTAATAATAACTTTATTTCTTAATTTCTTTAATAAGAATAATAATAACTTAAAGATAACTAATACTCTCCCTTTATTAAGATATATAGTTATATAGTAAATAATAAAATATTTATATAGTTAATATCCTAAAAAATAATAAAAAAGCTTTTACTTAAAATAACTAACTATACTTCTTTACCTATAGTTACTAATAATAATAATAAAATAAATTAACTTACTTACCTATAACTACTATTTTTTTATTTTTAACTTACTAAACCTATTATTTCTTATTACTATTACTAACTTTACTATATTACTACTATTATTAACTATAACCTATTAATATTCTTATAGTAATAATACTTCTTTTTCCTATATTCTTTTTCTTTTTCTTCTTATAAACTTCTACCTCTTAAATAAAAAAAAACAAGCTACTATAAGCGCCTTAATTTAATTTAGCCTTATCCTAGGTAATAATAATCCCTTAAACCTAGACACTATTAACCTTAACTAGTACCTTAATAAGGATAACTTTCTTATATTACTAGCCCTAGGTAAGTTAGCTTAATAAGTAAACTAACTAGCCTAATAAGGTTACTACTACTTAGTTAATAAGCCTAGATTTATTCTTAAGCTATCCTTTATAGCTATTAATTAACTAGCCTCTTAGTCTTAAGATAAAGAATAGGCTACTAAAATAATAATAGTACTAGTAAGAATAATAATAATAATAATAAAGATAAAGACTTTAATATCTTTAGTATTAAAAGTAATAATATTTCTTTACCTAAGGATATAATAGAGACACTAATAAGCTATAAATATATTAAGTAGTAAAAGCCTTTACTTAAAACTATAAGTAAAAAGATAGTTTATTTTTAATAAGATCTAGTAGTAACTTTAAGATAAGGCTACTATTATAAGAAAACCTTTTAATACTATAAAGATAGCTATAAAGCTTAGTAAAAAAATAAGAAAGTATAATAATATAAGAGAATTAAAAAGCCTATACTATATATAAGAAGTTAATAGTAATTACTACCCTAGAGGAGATTAATAACTATATAAAGAAATAACTAAGCTATTTAGTTATAAACTTACTAATAAGTAAGTCCTTAAATAAATCTAAGCCTATAAGGCTAATACTAAAGCTACTACTACTAAGAAACTAATAATACTAATAACTAGGTATATAAACCTTATACTTTATAAAGTAAAAAGGCTATAGCTTAAAGCTAGCTATCTTTACTTATAAAAGGCCTTTTATTACCTAAAGGACACTTTTATAAAAGTAATAATAAATAACTTTATAAGAAGACTATAGCTTACGTTAAAGCTTTTATACTTAGTAATAAGATAGCTTTATAGTATTATAGTAATTATTATTTACCTTAGATATATACTTTTACTATAAGATTACTACCTTAATAAATATTATCTTAGCTAAATATAAAAAAAGTAAACTATATATAAGTAATATTTTTAGTTAAGCTATACTTATTAGTTTTACTTTTTTTATTAACCTAGCTAATTTAATTTAAAGGTTATAAGTATACTTTTTTAATCTAATGTTTTAATAAGATCTTTATCCTAGAGATTTATTACTTTAACTAGCTAAGAAAGTAGCTATATACTATTACTAAGCTTAAGAAGAATATTACTAAGCTAGCTAATATAGTTAATAGCTATAAAAGTAATATTAATAAATATAATACTAAGGCTAATATAGTTACTAAACTTACTAAAAATATTATAAAAAAAACTAATACTTTTAATATAAATATTAATAATATTATAAAGAACCTTTATAAGAAAGCTAATAAAGTATATAAGTAAAAGTAATACTTTAAGAAACTAAAGAAGTAAGTAAACTAAATAAACACTAAAGTTATACTCCTTAATAAGAAGTCTAATAACTTTAATACACTAACTACTTTTAAAAGTAGCTTATTTAAAGAGTTAATAGACAAAGTTAACTAAATAGCTACTAAGCTTAATAAATAAAAGGCTATAGTTAACCTTTAGGTCTTAGCTACTTAGCCTAAGGTTACTATACTAATAGCTTAAGGTAATTAAGCTAATAAATACTACTATAATACTAATAATAATAATATAACTTAAGTACTACTAAAGGCTAAATAATCTTAATAAAACTTTAAAAATAATAAGTAATAAGGTTATTATATAAAAAAAAGGTAGTTTTTATACTTTATATTTATATATACTACTATTTAGTATATTTTCTTAGTAAAAGAAGATAAGGTCCTTTAAAAGAGGAGCACTTATTATAAGATAAGTACTTTATATAGTAAATAAATAAGTAAGATATAGAATTACTTTATTAGTATATATCTAGGTATATACCTAGGGGTATATATCTTATTACCTATTACCTTTTATAAAGAAAAGTAACCTTAATAGATAACCTATACTTATACCTAGCTCTTATCCTATATTAATTATTTAGCTCCTTGTTATTACTTGTCTTATTTTACTACTTTATTATTATACTTTACCTTTACACTATATTACTTTATGTTGCCTATTATAGCCTTACTCCTCCTGTTAGATCTATAATATCTAGTAAGAAGGCTATATTATATTTACTATAAGTCTTACTAACTTACTATATTAGAAAAGTTATAGTACTAAGTAAAGAAGTCTATAAATAATATAGTTAAAGGTTAATTATAATTATTTTTTAATTTACCTTTTCTTAATTCTTTAGTTCTTATAACCTTTACTTTTATATAACTCTTAGATAATAGTTTTCCTAGTTATAGCCCTATAACTAGTAGTCCTCTAGTGCCTTCTACCTTTAACACCTAATATATTAGCTAGTATAGTACTGTCTTTATACTTATAACTTACTACTTTTAACTTCTTTAACTTATAATAAATATCATAGTCTTTTACTAGTTATATAAGTATTATAAGATTTATAAGATATAATAGATTTATAGTAGTAATAACTTAGTAAATAGATTTATAAAGTTATTACTAAATAATATATAAGAGAAGCTAGTTAGTAATAAGTAGCTAAGAATATAACTAAATAAATAAGTTTTTTATATATAATAAACTATATAAGTAAAAAGTATTAAATATTATTAAGCTTTTTATTTTTATTATGTTTATTTAATTTTTCTTTTAAATATATATAATAAAGAGTTTTTAGTACTATAGAAAGTTACTAGTGTTATAATATTAACTATTATAAATAAATATTAAAGTTATTAGATTAACCTTAATAACTTATTACTAGTAAATTCTTAGATAATTAGCTATAAATTCTCTAAGAATTTATAGGTAATAAGTTAGTTATTTAACTAACTAACCTATAATAATTATCTTTTTTTTTCTTTATATATAATAGAGAACTATAGTTCCTTTAATTACTTACTAATTACTACTAATATATATAGTTAACTATATTAACCTACCTTTAGTGTATTTAATAAGAACCTTTACTTACTACTAATCTAGAGATAGTTAATATTACCCTTAAGGCTAGGCAGATGCCTAGCCACAGCAGTAGCCGCAGGGTTACTAGCCCTTGGTAACTAAGGGCCAACATTTAGGTGGTTTATATATAGAAGGGGGTTGTTAACGATTTTGGTGTAGTGTATGCGCACGCACTAACAGTGCGTGCCAAGAAAAGTATGTAGGAGGGAAGGTTGTTGTCACGATGGGTGTACGTGATATATGGCGCCAATTGCTGCTCGCAATCGGCGACGTCGCTTTTTTGCAACAACTTTCATAATGGAAAGACATATAAGCTTTTTCATCAGACGATAAGTTTTCTAACCAGAAGTCAAATGATGTACCGAGCATGTATGACAATATAGAGTTTTTAAAGAAAACCAGAGGGGAATCCAGACACACACGACATAACCCTACATACCTAGACTTCCGTGCAGCCGGATGGTGGATCGAAATTAGTAAAATCGATGACGAGCGGTTCTGGTTTCAATACAGGAAAGGTATAATTAGCGAGCGTCTCGCTGGCCTTGCCCTACAAGTAAATTCGGGAAGATAATTACATTCGATCCTGCTTTTTTACTCTACCTCCTAGGTATAGCTAGGCTCACTACACTCAGTTTCAGTTCGCCATGATGTTTGGTACATTAGTATATGGCATGCAACACGAAGAGCCAACCTTCATTGAGAACACTTCAGAGTCGGTGATCAATCGCAACCGGCGTGTGAAGCCACACGTTGCCTGCGGGTACTGCAGAGCGCGGAAGGTATCCCGTTTTCTTTCCCCCCTCAGCTCTATAAAGGCCGACAGCTGACCTGATGTAGCTTCGGTGTAACGGCGATCCACTTGGATGCGACAGATGCAAATCTAGCTCCAATATTTGCAGCTACCCCAAGCACAGGAACAACATCCGAAAAAACAAGTCCTCGGACCGTTTAACTGGAGAGACACCGAAATCACCACAGCCAACACGGGATGACGATGATGCTGAGGTATCCTCATCACCCGCATTCTCTGACAGTTGCAGGCTGGATCCTGATTTGCCCTTCAGTGAGAGCAACCAAGCACACCAAGAACACCAATCAATAACGGACATAAGCATGTTGCAGAAGCAGGATGTGCTTCTAACCCCCAGTAGCAGCTGGGCATTTGAGACACCGGTAGTAAACAGGAAAGACTGTAGCAACAGTCTGCTGCAGACAGAACAGGATACAGATCAAATAGACCAGTGGCTGGTTTCCTGCACTCATCTATCGCCAAACACATCAATGAATACTCTTACCACAGTGGAGGGTGGGGACTTCCCTAGCACTTGGGAGGAGCTGGGAGATAATACGTCGTACCATGACCTTCTTGACGACAGCGGTACCGACGATCTGAGCTCGCAGGGAACTCAGCCTGACATTGGTATGAATATTTAGTTTGCCCTGTATTATCGTCTCGTTGCCTTGTTACTAACTTGCCATCGTAGATCACACTGACGTCACTGAAAATACCTCAACGCCCGGCTTATCGACCTCGAACATGTTTCTTAACGAGAGATTCACAACGCATCATTCAATGATGCCGCAAGAATACCAGACGATGCCTAATGAAGCACAGCGCGGCCAAAGGGCAACACCGGTGGCCTACAAAATCTCGGCACCCCCTATGAGTTTGCTGCTGGAGAGCGTGGGCACAAGGAAGAAAGAGAACAAGTGCCATTGCTTGCGGCTCGCAGCCCACATGCTGGAGCAGCTCGGAAATGAAGCCGCCAACACGGAGGTGCCTATCATACTCATGGACCGCCTGCTCAACCGCTGTCAGGAGGCCGTCAAAGGCTGTGGCGCCATCTTGAAGTGCACTTATTGCAATTCGCGTTCGGAGAGCTTGATGCTCCTGGCAATGACCGGGCAATATCTAAGCGACATCTGCAAAATGATTGTCCGCTGCTACATTGATTTTGCTCAACTGCGGCATTCGCTCGATAGTCCATTTGCAGGAGGCCCTGCCATCCGGTTCCAGTCATACAAAGTCGAAAGCCGGCCGGAGCAAGTCCAAATTCTATGGCTACTGGTGAGGGGTCAGCTCACAGAGGTCTATCAGCTGATTCGTCAAGTCAAATCGAAAGTTGGGGTGAAAAAGTCACATCTGGCACCACTCCTCCGCGCAGAAAGAAAGGTTCAGCGCTTGAAAGCCTTACTGATAAAGTTGGACAGTAGGCGTTCCGTGAGTGATGATGTACCCTTTGAGATGGGTTAACCCTGTACCGAAGGTCAGTGATATGGTGGGTAGACACTAAGGAGTGATCCAAGGGACCGACACAATGAATTTGCCAATCGCGAAACATGCCCAATATGGATATATGTTGTCACGCAGTGCCTTCTACGGGTAGGAAAAGATCATAGGAAAACGGCTTGCCTAGCTACGTGTGGTGTGGTGAATCCAACCCGTAAATATATCCATTCTACGGGTGGGTCGGGCCGGTGGAGCCGGACTACAGATGTTCCGGCTCCGCCCCAAGACTCCGCGATGTCGTGAGGGCATCGCGACATATATTGTGAGAGCAGCAAAGTGAGGCAATACCGTTGTATGGGCGATAACTGTGATGTGAAGCTAACCAGGAGTGGGCTGCCCGCAGTGGGCAGAGGCTGGCCGAGAAGGAGGTGGAGGTGGGTCACGTGACCCATGGGCTCCTCCACCAACATACATTTTATAGGTTTTTCTACTTTAGGTAGGTTCCACGCTTCAACAGAAATGGGCTCACCTGGCAATTAAACTGGTATAGTCACACCAGCCAGCACCTCATAATGTCTCCCCTTAACCGAACACGAGAGATCCCCTTCTTGCCATAATGTAACACTGTATGTAGGATGGGGATGCCCTCACAACGCCCAGAAGGTAAAGAACTATTAAGCATTAACAACAACAGTAGATCTCAGGGTGAATTTCCTAGGCGTGGTTCTGCAAAGGAATATATACACAGTAGGCTGGTTGACTTGTGAAAAGGGGAGGCTGTGTGCTTTATTTATGTATATAACTAAAGTATTGCTACCCTAGGCGTCCTTTGTCCTCTACAGGAACGTCAAGACGTTAAATAATACAACAACAACAATCGTAATGTCTCCCCATTCTACTTAGGAAAATTCTAACAAAGCGGGTGACGTGCTGTACTTGTGCGTTAATAACCTGGAGACGAAAAAAGTGCGTCCTAACGTTCCTCCATCTATTGCAATATGTGTGGGCTCACCGCACTCGGGACATAGCGACTCTTCTCTCCAACCTTCTCTGCCAAAACGCTCAAGCTAGGACTATGCAGCACGTCGAAAATGCCTGTTGTCTCGGCTCCGGCGTTAGAGACAAGCCAATTGCGCAACTCGACGGCGATGAGCGAGTCAACCCCGTACTTGGAGACGGGATGCTTTTTGTCGATTTCAGCCACGTCCAACCCAAACATATCTGCCAACTTTGAGATGATGGCGTCCAAGATCAGAGCCACTGCGTCCAAATGATTACTTGCGGACTGCAATGAGTCGGACAGCCGCGTAGCCGCGCAGTGTCGCTGGTCCGTCCGGTGACTCGAGCCGCCAAGACTCAGTTGATTCAACTGAACAGACAAGAAGCGCCTGTCATTGACCCAGGCGACCGTGGATGCTTCATCGAAATCCAGGATTCCTGTAATAAGCTGGCTGAGGTCGATCTCACGGTGCGGGTCTTGGATAGCCGTTTCAACTATCTTAAGCAGGTTGACCTCATCGATTTCAGCAAGACCAGTCTTTCTCAAGCGCTGCGCAACCCCTTCCGTGTTGGCAACGAAGCCAACTTCTTGTATACTAGCCAAGTCGATAGAAACTCCGGGTAAGCCTTGCGACGTTCTGTATCTGGCGAACGCGTCTTGAAAGCTTCCGCCAGCCGAGTAGTTTCCTTGACTGGTGTTGCCACCGAGACCCGTCAAGGAGGAAAGTAGGATAAAAAAATCCAGATTTGGGAGATTATTGTGGATGTTCCATGTTGCTGTGATTTTGGGCCCCGTGGCAGCCAGCCATTGTTCATATTTCATGTTGGGAAAGATGGAGTCCTGTTCAATGTCTTAGCCACTAGCCAATCTTTTTCGTTTGAGAGATGGCGTGTCAACCTACATCTAATTTCATGGCAGCTTGAATCACGCCTTTGACGGGCGGAAAGCTTGCCTCAGCATCAACGATGAATTGTTTGAACTCCGCACCGCATGATACGTCGCAGTCCCGGACCAGGGTCCTGCATCCCAGTGACTCGAGCTCTGCGACCAGGGGCGCGCATTCGGAATACTTCGTGGCGTTCCTAGACAGAATGATAAGGTATTTGCAACTGAGATGTTTCGCCATCCATCGTGCAATCGACTGGCCGATGCCACCCATGCCGCCCACAATGAGGTATGAGGCGTCGGGCAACAGGCGTGCTGCTTTCAAAGAGGGAACAACCTTAATTCATGGTTAGCAACCTCTCATTGCGACTGGGATAGAAATATTCCCACCTTGACAAGCTCCGTCACCTTCGGCACAACGACTATCTTGCCCATGTGTTTGCCGCTCTGCATCAGTCTAAAGGCTTTGTCAACTTCGGAAATGGGAAATTTTGTCATAGGAGCCACAAAACGAAGCTGCTTCTTCTCAAACATTTCCATGACGCTAGAGAGGGCGTCTTGGAGAACACAGCCCTTATACTTGCCCAGCTGGAATACGTCCACCGCGGCAAAGGAGACAGCAAGCCGTAAAGGGCTCATGTCCAGGGCTTTTGATGTTTCCATGTCCCGCTTGCCGATCTCAACAAATCGACCAAATCTTGCCATACACTTCCAGGTCTCGTTCAGTAGCGGGCCGGCGAGCGAATTGAGTACCATGTCGACTCCTTTGCCATTGGTGGCTGCCATCAGAGCGGGACCGAAAGACGTGTCTCTGCTGGAAAATATATGTTCTTTGGGCACGCCAAACTCCTTCATCACGAAATCGCGTTTTGCCTCGGTGCCGACTGTGACAAAGACTTTAGCACCCCGCTGCTGGGCGAGCATCACTGCAGCTTGTCCGACCCCGCCGGTTGCGGCGTGGATAAGGATGCTCTCGCCTCTGGCAAGCCTTCCAACGTCGTAGAGACCAAGATAAGCCGTGGCAAACACCATAGGGATTGTTGCTGCTTCCTCAAACGACATGTCTTCAGGTATACGAACGGCACATTGCCAGTTGATGGTTACCCTTGTCGCCCAGTGACCGCGAAGAATGGCACAAACTCGATCGCCGACTTTTAGGCCACTGGCTTGCTTTGCTTCTGGGCCCATTCTAGTGACGACGCCGCTGCACTCATAGCCCATGATGGTCTCATCAAGCTGGGCCAGTGCAACGAGCACATCCCTGAAGTTGAGACCAAAAGCGCGAGGCTCGATCTCAAGCTGGTCGGCCTCCAGCATCGAAACATTGTTCTCGACTTCTCTGAAGCGCAAGGAGTCTAGAAGTCCAGGAGTGCCGACCTCCATTTTCAGATCCATTCGATCACTGGATTTGAAGCATCGAAGCTCCGGTTCCTGATCGTCGGTTCTAGATGCCAAAGCTCTGTTTCCCGCGTAGTCGTTGTAGATGCGAGACACATGAAGTAGGGAGTCTCGAACAGCGTATTCATGGTCGATCTCTCTGTCGGCGAGAGAAAAGTCAAATGAAGCCTTGAGAACGTCCACGACATAACCCAAATTCTCCATAGACCACTGAGATTCGGTAGTCCCGAGATCGAGGGAGACGTATCGTCTACCGACATCTTCCATTCGCAGCGTCCGCAAAAGACCAGAATGTAACGCCATGTCAGGATTCGTCCCGCATGTAAGACCAGCCCTTGTCACCCACAATACGCCTTGGGCAGTCGTCAACAATCGTTGAATGCGTGCAAAATCCTCGCGTCCCAGTCGATGCAAGAAGGGAGCTATCATTTCAACAAGCATGATGCACACTTTGCCAGTGGCATCAATAGACGCCCAATCCGAAGTCGTGGTTATAGCACCTGTGGTGTACTGAATTGCTCTCTCAAGGTCATGTGTCCAGTTCACTGGCACCTCTCCTGGCAGGCACATGATGGCAACTTCGCGAGGATAGGAGGGCGAAGCGGTAGCCGTGGAAGTAATGACACTAAACGAATAGTCCTCCTCGTGTTCCATGTCTCGAACATCCAAGTCGATACCGCTAAAACCGCTGCTTTTGAGAACTTGACCCCAATGATTCAAAGTCAAGTTCGGGCCTCCCTTGCGTTCAGTCTCCTCTGCCAACCACCAGCCGGGTAGTGTTCCGAAGACAAGTTGCACGTCAAGTCTGTCCTTTGTTGTTTCGACAATAATCAACTTTCCGCCTTTCTTCAGAAGCTTGCGGACGTTCTTCATCGTCTTCTCCATGTTCTTGGTGGCATGAAGCACTTGACAGGCGATGACGAGGTCATATGAGCCAGCCTCGAAGGACTGCTCTACAGGATCTGCTTCGATGTCAAGTTTCTTGAAATTGACCATGTCGCCATAAATTGCAAATTTCTTCGATGCTGCCTCAAAGAATCCACTTGATATATCAGTGAAAGTGTAAGATCCAAAGCGGTACCGGTTGTCGGGTGTATCTTGGGACAATCCCTCTAGAACCGACCCCGTACATCCACCAGTGCCACCTCCGATCTCAAGAACCCTGGCACGTGGGTTTTTCATCGAGTAAAGGCGGACGAGCTTTTTTACTTGCTCGTAGGATCGATTGCATCGGAGAGCTTGACTATAGAAATCATAGAGCAAATTGCCCTCCATCATGACTTCTAGTGGCGCGGCTTGCTTTCTTAGGATTTTGGACAGGTTGCTGCCGATACGACACAACAAGCGTCCGTTTACACTCTCTGCAGCAACTTCGTCCAGTAACATGAGCTTCATGCCCTTGCTTCTTCTAGCCCATGAGGAGCTTCCGCGCGCCAAGGTGCCGGCAAGTCCAGCTTCGTAGTTGGATCGCATCCAGTTGTAGAGCGAGTTATGGTACCACTCCATGTTGACAATTGCGATCTCGTCCGAGCTCAAATCTTGAATTGTGTCTTGGATAAAGTACCAAGCTGCTTGTATCAACTTTTTGTTCACAGATAGCTCCTTAGGGTCAGCCTCATACTTGAGCGAACCTTTCAGTGTTGATATTGGCATGAGGGTCACATCAGGATGCCAGTGCATCTTGAACATGAGATTTGGCAGCTCATGGCTACCACCGCTCTCGTCGATACCTCCCAAAGCTTGACAAAATAGGCCTTTGACTTCTAAAAGCGTCTTATCTGGGACCGAAGATGAAGGGTCATGTGTTACGACAGAAGATCGGAAGCCGGACCTGCCAAGACGATTGACGGTTGCAAGGGACTCGAACCGCGTGCCGGGCAATGAGGTGATCGAGTGTGACACGTAAATCTCCTCAATAGACCGGGGAACCACCATTGAGTTTTGGAAGTACTGAGAAGGTAAGGAAGCGTATGCGCCTTGGAATATCGAGTCCAATGTCGTGGGATGGAGAAGATGGCTACTGGCAGAGTTTGAGTCTGCAACCCTGAATTGGAATTTGGACTCTGAATCATTGGCTTGTATGGCCAACATGTTTTGGAACGACGGTCCATGATAAATTCCCATATTTCTAAGTCGTGCGAAGAGTGCCTCAGGTTCGACATTGCGTGAGTAATAATGATCCTTGGCATCTGTCTTTTCACGGTTTGGGGTTGAGATCGGAGTGACTGAAAGCTTCGGCTTCTGCCGCTGAGATATGTAACCGCTGACGTGTTCAGTCCAAGATCCGCTGTCAGAACTGAACGACATCAGTGAGAACTCGTACCAACCCGGATCCAGGTTCTTTTTGTCGCATGAGTGCAGAGATAGCTGGACTTCAACACCTGTCTCAGTATCTGGAACGACCAATGCTTTGCTGATCTGCACATCTCTTAAGCAGTATCCATCGATGGACTCTTGTGGCTCCTTGGAGAATTGTCGCAGGGCTTCGATCGCCATTGTGATACCGCCGGCACCAGGGTATACAATGTCCGACGACAAGACGTGGTCTCGCAGCCAGGGCAGGTCAGAAACCTTGAGAAAATGCCTCCAAATCGGATTTGTAGATGCGGGTCCAGGAATCTGAGAGCCAATAAAGTCATTGCGTACGTGACTCCGATGTCGATGGGCAACGTTCACACGCGATTCCTGCCAGAAGTGGTTGGAATGATTCCAAGGATATGGAGGAAGGTCTGAAATGACGCGGTGGTTGTCGTGAGATTGTTGACAGTTGACAGCTGCTATATCAACTGGATAGCCTTCACACCACAGAGCTCCTGCAGCAGATTGCATTGTAATTACAGCGTTCTGGCCTCTTAGCAGACTGGACGTGTATGGCAAGTTCCTGCCCTTCAATCCAGGAGCGTTACATATCTGCCTAATAGGGCCTGCGAGAGCCGAGTGCGGACCGATCTCTAAGATGAAATCAACAGCGGGGTCTTCGCCATTCCTCGCAAGACACATGTTTTCAAAGGACTTTGAGAATTGCGTGGGCTGAAGCAGATTGTTGACCCAATGCTGGGGGCCCAGATTCTGGGGGCAGTCGATGAGGTCGCCGGTGACAGGGGAAGAGTAAACAATCTTATTCCACTTGAGCTTTGGGTGAATGATAGTTTTGAGGGCCGTCAAGTATTCCTCTGCCATTGGTAGCATGTGGTGTGAATGGTAGGCCGATTTGACTTTTAGCTTCCGCGCAAAGATTTGATCCTGAGAGAAAGCTTTCTCGAGGCGCTCAATCACATCAAGATCTCCCGATAGTGTAACGCTTGACTGACTGTTGATGCAGGCTACAGTCACAGTACTCTGAGTGACACCATGGTCCGCCAGATAGGACAATGCATCTTCGGCACCTAACCCTACGGCCATCATACCTCCAGGACAGCTAGACGCAGCCTGGTGCTTCTCAGCCAGGTAAGCTCGAAAGTAGGCCACACCCAAGGCTTCCTCAAACGTCAAAGCGCCGGCTGAGTATGCCGCGGCGATTTCACCGCTTGAATGGCTGGTGACGCCACTTGGCTGAATTCCCCAAGAGTTGAGAAGATCAACCAAGCAGACCTGAAGAGCAACACAAACAGGCTGACCAAGCCGAGGCTCGTTGACGCGTGTAGACTTTTCGTCGCGTTGTAGCTCTTCTATGAGAGACCAGTCCGCTCCATAGTCTCTCAAGACATCGCAAGCATGGAGAAGAGACTTTTGAAAGATGGGATAGGTGGAGATGAGCTCTCGTCCCATGGCATGCCATTGAGCACCTTGCCCGGTGAAAACGAAACCGACACGAGGAACTCCTTTTGCCAGTTTCACGGCCCTCCTCATTGGGTCGTCAAGAGCCTTGATGAGATCTTCTTGGCAGTTGATACATGATATGGCCACTCTCCACGGGAACTGTGTCCGTCGGGCTTGAAAAGTGTAGGCAAGGTCATGGAGTCTGACTGGTTGATCTGAAGTTTTTCGAGTCTCAAGGTAGTCTTTTAGGTTCTCGAGCATTCTTTCAGTGACAGCTGAATCTTTGCTGCTCATAACGACAAGCCTAGGGTGATCAGTCCCCTCAGCTGCTGCGGTATGTTCATGGACGTGCTCAACTGCCGCATCGATGATTACGTGGCCGTTCGTTCCTCCGTAACCGTAATTGTTGACCGAGATGCGTCTTGGCATGTCTTTGGGCCATTCCTGACCCATGGTGACAACACGGACGCCCAGTGCTTTCAAGTCAATGTTGGGGTTCGTTTGATCGTAATTCAGATTAGGAGGGATGAATCCATGCTTGAGCATCATGATGGCTTTGATAACACCCGCTATTCCGCTTGCTGCCTCCAGGTGTCCCAGGTTGGTCTTGATAGACCCCACCAGGACTGGATTGCCGACGCTTCGGCTTTTTGCAAAGACACGGCTGATTGCGCTCGCTTCGATTGGGTCCCCCGTTGGAGTTCCGGTCATGTGCGCTTCGACATAGGGCGTCTTTCCGGGATCCAACCCGGCTTTGCTATAGCAAGCTCGGATCAATTCTACTTGAGCGTCTGATGATGGTGATGTTATAGTCGGCGTCCTTCCGTCTTGGTTAACAGCAGTCTCTCGAATCGCCGCATGGATACGGTCGCCGTCCGATATGGCATCCCGGAGAGGCTTCAACAGAAGCGTCGCTATGCCTTCGCCACGACCGTACCCGTTCGCTCGATTGTCCCACGCAAAACATCGGCCATCCGGGCCGAGGACTCTAGTTTTCTTCAGCACACTTCAAATGGCTCTCTGACGCGAGAAGCTTACCCTAGGCTTGACATAATAATGAATGGATCGGGGTTCAGAAGGAGGTTTGAGGCGCCAACAATGGCCATGCGCGACTCTCCATTTCGAATGCTATTCACAGCCAAATGAAGGGCCACCAAACTTGAGGAACACCCCGTGTCTGTCGTCAAACTAGGGCCACGGAGATCGAAGAAGTGCGAAATTCGGTTGGACATCATCGCGACCCCGTTGCCGGTAAGGGTTGTCCTTGGGAGCGTGTCCGGATCACGCAACAGGCTGTCATGGTAATCCCTGGAAAAAGACCCTACGAAGACGGATGTGTCGCTGCCAGCCAGCTTCTGCAGCGGCACGCCAGCTATGAAGCATCTGATTAGTTGTAGTTTGTTATCGGCGAGGGCTAATATCTTTACCGTTTTCTGAAGTTTCAAACACAGACTCGAGAAGCAATCGAATCTGTGGGTCCATCGCCTATCACCATAACGTTGTTAGTGATTGAATAAGGTATTAAACCAGAAAGTCGGGTCGAGACAGACATTCGCAATCTCGGCGGTGAAGTTGAAAAAAGATGCATCAAACCTGGCGACATCTTCCTCAAGGAAATGACCGCCGACAACATTGGACTATCAATACATCTGTCAGTAAACATGGCTCGCGAAACAGGAAGATGACATAATAATACCATCCCAGTTTTTGCATGGTTTTTGTCATAAAATGCATCTACGTTGAACCTTGACTTTGGTACAGGTTTCCAACCGTCCCTTCCGTTGACGACAAGCTGCCAAAGCTTTTCTGGTGTTGTTGCCTCACCAGAGAATTTGCAACTTAACCCGATAATTGCGACAGGCTCTGCTGGGCCTCTGGACGAGTCCATGCTGCCCACCGGAGAGCTGATGCTGGGGGAGTAATTTCCATGACTCATATACGGTGCCATTATGAATTGTTCGGGCGGCTTTGGGAGTTGTTGCTTCAATACACATAGGCTGCGGTAAGTGACTACGTTAAAAGCTGTAGTGATATTTCTTAGGCTAGAGACGAGATGTTGCTTAAGGTTAGTTATCCGAGTCTACAGAAAGGCCAACTAAATGATACCTGTACAACTATTAATGATCACACGGTGGGTCATGCGACATGCTGTTTGCAGGACAAAGTAGCTAATCCGGCGTAGACCCCGCGGCACCGATGTGATGCTTAGGAGTAGCCAAAGTTCTCCATAGTAACCGGGGCGACCTAAAATGACATGTTCCGATACGGTATTTTGTTTGAACGGGTGATTCTTTTGGGGTGCAGGATTCGGAAAAAGTAAATAAAGTCATGTTCCTAATTTGATCTTTGGGGTGTCGGCATCGACCACTAGGTTTTGCCGTTGCAGAGATGTGTTTATTAGTGCCCAACCTTAAGCTGCATGCAGGATCGAAAGTTAATCCAATGCAAAGCTTGGGAGGTGAACCAAAGGGTTGTCGGACTGTAGACATACACTATCACCCATACTTTGTCGGCCTAGGTAAAAGAAGTAAGCCACTGCGTATTTCTTCAATATTTTTCTTTGTATATTTCAACATGCTTGTGGTCAAACTTGCGCTGAAAAACCACCAGATAAACGCTTTACATACAACTTCTCACCATGGGTTCTTTTATCAAATCGTCCAAATCGACCGAGAAAACAAGGCAAAACAAAAGCTCAAGAACCAACACGCCGACCATAGCCGAGAAATCAACTGACGATCCAAATGTCGATCTGCCGACGGGCCTCAAGCTTCATGTGATCACGTTGGGCCTAGGTATAACGTTCTTCTTAGTTAGCCTGGTATGCCGTTTCCGGGAATGAAAACTCCTCTCCTAGAATCATTCTTATTGGTTCTCTTCAGGACAATGTAATTTTATCGACTGCAATCCCGCGAATTACGGATGAGTTCAGCTCCATCGCCGATGTTGGATGGTACGGCAGTGCTTACCTTCTCACAACCTGCACGTTCCAACTTACCTTGGGAAAGCTTTACTCGCTTTTCTCGATAAAACTCATCTATCTGATTTGCATCATCATCTTCGAGGCCGGGTCAGTAATCTGTGGCGCAGCACCTCGATCCACTGTGCTCATCCTTGGTCGGGCTATCGCCGGGATTGGTTGCGCCGGGATCCTAACTGGGACCTTCATCATAATCGCAATCGTCGTTCCTCTTCCCAAGAGGCCTGCGTACAACGGTCTCTTCGGCAGTGTATATGCAATCGCCTCCGTAGTCGGGCCATTGCTTGGAGGCGCCTTCACCGATAAAGTGACCTGGCGTTGGTGTGTAAGTGATATGCCGTTGCAGGTTTTCATGCCCTTTAACATGCTTATGAGACTCAGTTTTATATCAATCTCCCATTCGGCGCCATTGCGTTGGCCATACTCTTCTTTCTTTTCAATGAGCCGCCTCGACCGAAAGACAAAGAACACAAGACAGTGGTTGAAAAGATTATGCAAGTCGATCCAATGGGCACTCTTGTCCTGATGCCGGCCGTCATTTGCCTCCTGTTGGTGCTACAGTGGGGCGGCACCACATATCCATGGCGCGATCCGAGAGTTATTGTTCTTTTTGTTGTCTTCGCCATCCTCTCTATTGCCTTCGTCCTCATTCAGATAAAGAAAGGAAAGAACGCAACACTCCCGATCAAGATCATAACACAAAGAAGCGTTGCAGCGGCATGCTGGTTCTCAGTATGTACGGCTGGATCTGACTTCACGATGAGGCAATATATACCCATCTGGTTCCAAGCCATCCAAGGAGTCTCTGCTGTTAAGTCAGGGCTAATGAATCTCGCCCTGATTCTAGCCACAGCCCTAAGTTCAATTCTAGGTGGCATAGGCACTGGTCAGGTCGGGTATTACAATCCTTTTATGATTGCATCGACCGTCCTAATGGCAGTCGGCTCAGGCCTTTTAACTACTTGGAAGCCAGGCATTTCTGAAGGGGTTTGGATTGGCTTCCAGGTTCTGTATGGGCTGGGTTCTGGCATGGATATGCAAATTCCACTCATTGTTGTTCAAGCGGTTTTACCTCCAGAAGACATTCCGCTTGGAACCGCACTTGTAATGTTCATGCAGTCATTTGGGGGAGCTATTTTTATTTCCGTGGCCCAAAACATATTCACCAACGAGCTCCGCACTGGACTCGCCAAATACCTGCCGAATATCAACGCTACCGCCATCATTCATGGCGGTGCAACCAGCATCAGAGAGCCGGGTGTGCTACCGCCTGATGCTGTTGGCCCAACTCTGCAAGTTTATAGCAAATCTATCACTAACTCGTGGTATCTAGCCGTTGGTTTGTCTTGCGCAAGCGTATTTGGGAGCGCTTTTGTGCAATGGAAAACAGTAAAACAATCGCAATCGCCTACGGCTGTTGTTGAGGATGCAAACCTTGATCAACGACATGCAAAAGATGGTGGAACTGAAATAGAACTACGAGAAAATCTAAGCAAGTCTGTGTAGATTTAGCAGAAATACAAGTGTTATTAACGAGAAGAAAAACCTGTCCTAATAAAGGTATTCCTCTTCAAATATGTATACTAATATAATAACCTGCTAACATTACTATTACTAATTTGTTTGTCTTAGCTATACTATCAGTAGAAACTCTACTGTTAGATTACTGACTGTAACACACTCGCTGGCGTAGCTAGAGGCCTCTAAAATCAAGTGATAATATTGTGTGTGTAGTATAAGCCGCTACTTTACCCTTCTGAGAAACAACCCCCAAATCTAAATATCTAATATCGCTACTATGAGGGACATGGAGGAAAGTTTTCTTTTGCCGCAAAATAGAATAAGCCTTTTCAACAAAAGCTTCAGGGCAAGGGGGCCATGTTTGTCAGGGATAAAGGTTATCGGCGTGGTCAGGATAGGAAATTACAGTCCCTTTTGGCGTTCCGTCATAACAGACCTTGCACGCTAAACTTTGGTCACACTAATTAGTCTTGATCTTCCAACCCTCATAAAACGTAGCAGCTGCTCTACATCATTATGTGCATTTAATATAGACTCGCTCTAGATTGAACATAAGCTAATGCAACATTGCAAACAATCAGTACATCAACTATGGGTTTTATGATCGCTTTGATGCCGTTGCCAACCTTTGTAGTAGTCCTTATACAAGGCGCTCTAAGTATTTTATTACTGAAGCTTATATGGAAAGCATATAAGATCCGCAGAAAGTTTAAAGAGGTTAAATCTCAAGGCATTGTAAGTATATTGTATCTTGACTCTCGCAGTGAACGCTGGAGATATACCAAACGTCATGGGTGCTTCGTAATAGGCGTTGAAGTATTGTGGTAATTCATCCACCAGATTAACTACATTCACTACTTATGGAGTTTTGGAACGATAATTCTATTATGTCCCAACTTACAGCCTAGTAGCTAACATCTATATGCAGCCTATGCTTCCTCACTCTTGGATAACCGGCCATCTCGGTGTAATGTCCGAATTCCGAAAGAATTATCCTGGAGATATTAATATCGGCAATTTTCACCCATGGATTATTAATAACTATCAAAAGTATTTTCCAGATATAGACCATTGTCCCCCAGTCATATATCTTGACTTGTGGCCCGTTCTGAAAGCGCCTATTGTGGTGGCTTATAATAGGACAGTTGCAGCGCAGTTTACCCAGATCAACAACCTTGACAAACATCAAATATCTCTCGATTTTATGAATCCTTTGACCAAAGGCAAGGATCTGGCCACTCTCCAAAGCAACGAATGGAAAAAATGGCGTGGGTGGTTCAATCCAGGGTTCAGCTCTAGAAACGTGTCGACAATGGTGCCAGAGCTTATTGAAGAGATCCAAGTCTTTTCCAAAAACTTGGAAGAAAGAGCTGGACCAAACGGCACTTGGGGCCCCATGTTTCAGTTGCGAAACGCTACTACAGCCCTTACCTTTGATATCATTGTTCGTGCAGTCTTGTAAGAGAAGCTTGCTATTATTCCCTCGGAGAGTATCTGAAAGCATATGTACTAACCTTGTACAGGGATGAACGCTTGCACGAGCAGACGAGCCCCACGGGTGGGCCTCTCAGATTGGCCTTGGCAGACCAGCTCAGACTGATGGGAATTCGACAAGCCTTCAGCCTCGGTTACTTGCTGCCTTGGCAAAACAAAGCCGTTGACCGAAACAACCAAATTGCTTACGAACAGCTGTATCCCAACATTGTTCGCTCCCTCCAATCAGGATTTAAACGCTCAAAGAAGAAGACAGTACTGAATCTTGCCCTTATGCATCTTGCCGAGGAAGCAGGCGGTCACATTCTTGACCCAGCTACAGATCCCGAAATGATGGAAACCATCATGAGCAACCTCAAGACGTTTCTTGTTGCTGGTCATGAGACGACAGCGAGCGCATTATGTTTCATGTTCAAAGTCCTCCAAGACAACCCAGTCTGTATGGAAAGGCTCCGTGCAGAGCATGACGAGGTTCTAGGTCCAGACCCGGACCAGGCGGCTGAGATGCTCGGTAACTCTCCCCAGTTGCTCAACTCATTGAGGTACACCCACGCAGTGATCAAAGAGACGCTTCGCATGTATCAGATGGCGTCCACAATGCGTGGGGGACAAGCAGGATTCTACCTGAGTGATCCCTCGTCTGGGAAGCAATATCCAACCGAAGGGTTTCTGGTTTGGGATGGTGGACCGGGTATGCAACACGACCCTTCACTGTGGCCGAATGTAGAAAAGTTCATGCCGGATCGCTGGCTTGTACCGGCAGATGACCCACTCCATCCCATAAAAGATACGTGGCGTGCATTTGCTAGGGGCCCTAGAGACTGCATCGGTCAGGAGATTGCGTTGGTTGAAATAAAGCTGGTCTCAGCCCTCATAATGCGCAAGTTCGACGTCGAGGAGGCTTGGGACGATTGGGATATTGCCCAGTAAGTCGATATTTGCTTACGCTCGATACAGATCCAGATCCAGAGGACTTAACTCACTAATAATGTTTGCTTTAGAGGAAACAAAGGCCGGAAGGATATGGTGAGGGGACAGCGACTGTATGTTGCTGGTGACGGTATTGGGCATCCGAAAGACGGCATGCCGGTTCATGTTCGGCTGAGAGAGGTGATGAGAGAGAGTAAATAAGACGGCCGGGAGGCGGTATCTTAGATCCCAGATGGCTCTGGAAGTTGGAAATCTCCAATTTTCCACGGAATCTGCCTCGTGATGAATGGAACGGGGGAAATTATCAGGTAGTAGTGTGTGTGATTTGCAGGCGAGAACGGGCTATGGCGTTGTAGTGACTTCATTACTAAGACTAGAACATCTACGCCTCTCTATGTGCACTATATCGGACATCTTAATAAGTAAAGATTGGTCTAGCTAACTATAGTCTGTAAAGATGGCACAAAAATATGTTGACTGTTGATTGATAAGGCTGACTTGCCTGCCTTGTGCTATCATAGTGTCAGAGAGGTTACAGTACCGAGTAGAGGAGTCCACGAATAGCGTAGTTAGGGGTCAATTGTGACTATTTTCCAATCTGCCTTTTCCTAATTCTCCAGTTCCTGCAAACTCTGCTTTTGTGTAACCCTCGGATGATAGTTTTCCCGGTCACGGCCCCATAGCTGGTGGTCCCCTGGTACCCCCTACCTCTGGCACCTGACACATAGTATGGTACTTGCCTAAAAGTAGATTGCTAGACTAAATATTATTGTAAATTATACAAACCTTGTTGAATGGACTTCTGTACGTCGACGTATTCAATAAGGCATAACAATAATAGGGGCGAATCAACATGTATTCTGGTGACTGTCCTCTCTAACTACAGGATAGCTATCGTACAACAGTTATATAGCCATAGTGCTTGAGTCAGTTCGGTCCGAGTCGTACAGTGATTCACACCCGAGGTCCGAGTTTCCAATCTAGTGGCCTTATCCCTTTGTAACTGAGTCGTGATATCCTAATGAATGTGTCATGGACTCAATACCAAGTATTGTCCATAGGTGTCGTACGATCATGTGATGTTGGTATTCCAACAAACCTAGAGTTATAAGTGCACCTATACACCATCACGGCAGTTTTACAAATCGTTTGGTTTTGATTCATGCGGAAGCTACTAGTGCATAGATTGCAAGTACTCCAATATATCTCAACACTTTAACACCGTAACCCAAAAGCGAGGGACTACTTGGAAGAATGACAGAGAACACATGTAACTCCCAGCCCTATTCCTTCTGTTAGAGAAAGGAAAGAGGTTGTCTATAATATTGATCAACAGCCCATTCTATGGCCCTAACCACCTGCTGTGTGCCTGAGTCCATAGGGGGATGATGACCACCGGAATGAAACAGCTTCTTGGATAGCCTCTGGTCGCATATTTGGTATCCGATTTCATGCATGTCTTGCATAAAGGGGAAGTCCCGTTTACCAGACACATGAACTGTTGGGATGTGAATGCGCTCTGAAAGCAAATGGGGATGCAGGACGCGGGGAACCTCAGTGACCCCATCCAGGAAGAAGTCTTGGTTGAGGTCGGGCAGAACCGCCCCAATTTTCACGGCCGATTGGAATGTCCGAACGACACAATCATTGAAGATTCGTGTTCTTGGCGTGAGATCCTTGGCGTCCATGCCAGTGCAGCGACGTGAGCAAAGTTCATCTACTTCGCTTTTGCAGTATGTCCAGTCGGGCGAGAACGGCACAACAGATGAAAAAAGAACCGCGAACTTGAAATCCGGTTCTTCGCCATTAGCTTGTTGGCACCAAATGTAGGATAATGCCACTGATGCGCCTTGGCTGAAGCCCAGTATGCCGTCAAATGGCCCAAGTTCAGCAACCGTTGTGGCTATCTCTTTGTGTGCAGCCTGGATTTCGGCTGGTGAATAGCCTGTCGTATGCGAGTAGAATGGCCCGTCAAATTCAGGGCCCATGCCTAGAACAGTTGAATGTCAGTCCTCAATGCTGAAACAGATATCTCTCATCTTCTGATGGGGAAAGAATATCCTAACCAGGTCCTCGGTGCGATGGTACATCCCCATCGACAAAAACAAACTCGTAGCTTGCATCAAGCGAATTCAAAAGCCTAGACAGCTGTCTTTTGAATATTTTGGCAGAGCTGCCGACACCATGTAACGCAAGGATTCTCATTTCCACAGAATTGAACAGAATGCAAGTCGGAATACAGAAATGTGGTCCTTGGCCCGTGAATAAAAGGATGCTAATAATACCGGCTTAACTATGTGTAGAGAAATTAAAAGCAATTGGAACGGGCTGTCTGGTTGTTATCAGGTTATTGGAGTTAATTTTATTATGTTAGAGATGATTTATTTAGTTTCTAGAACGAAGCAAGACGAAAAGGTACTTTCGATGTCTGCTCCGAAGTTTAGCTAGGAAATTCTATTTCGTTGAAATTTCCGGAAACCGGAAATCTCGATTTGGCAGTCTGTGTACAACTTGCCAATCACAGAATGGCCGAATTACTCGGTTGTAGACAGTAGGCCATCCGCAGGATGTGGTAGGAACGAGCTGGTACCCTGTCAAACTATAATTGTCGTTTAAGCTTCTGTGATATTAATGGTTTTGAGTGTTAAGGCCTAGAGATCAGCACAGTTCGGGCGACAGATTAAGCACTTTCAGGTTCTTTATAGACTATAAGCCATTCAAACCGCAAGTTATCTATCTTAATATCAAGTCGTAACTCATTCCGAGCAAAGACAATACACCATGATTACTCCGTGCAAAGAAGAGCCAATCGCAATTGTCGGGGCGGCCTGTCGTTTTTCCGGCAAAGTAACATCTTTGCGCGGACTTTGGAACATGATTAGCAATGGCCGTAGCGGTCATGGAAAGGTTCCGCCTTCGCGGTGGGATGCAGATACTTGGTATCATCCTGACCCTGATCGCAAGGGATCTGTAAGTAAGATGTTGGGCATCTCCCTCTGGGCATTGCTAAGAGTATGATACCACTGAAGATAAGCGTAAAGCATGGATACTTCCTGGAGCAGGATGTGTCCCTCTTCGATGCACCATTCTTCTCCATGACAGCTAGGGAAGCTGCTGGAATGGACCCAATGAAACGGCTGTTGTTAGAAGTCAGCTACGAAGGGTTTGAAAATGGCGAGTTGAAGCGCTCCTAATGATTGTATAGCTTACTAATAGGAACGATAGCCGGAGTTCCGATGGACAGCTTAACTAATTCTCAAACCGGCGTTTACGTTGGCTGTATGACGAACGACTATGAGCAACTCTCAACTCATGACCCTTGTGACATAGGGGATCTAGCAGCTTCCGGTACGAGCGATGCCATGATTGCAAATCGAGTATCGTGGTTTTTCGGTCTTCGAGGTCCCAGTCTAACCCTCGACACTGCATGTTCATCAAGCCTTTATGCACTTCATCTGGCATGTCAGTCACTGAAGTCAGGAGAAACCAACATGGTACGGATTAAACCCACACTTCTTTCTGCTTAGGTTTATGAGATTCAATGCTGAGGAAAAAAAAAAACATTAGGGACTGGTAGCAGGTGTCAACTTGATTTTGCATCCCAACTTCATGCATCAACTTTCATCGATGCACATGCTCAGCCCGGAGGGCATATCACACACATTTGATCACCGAGCGAACGGTTATGGCCGAGGCGAAGGTATCGGGTGTCTGGTAGTAAAGCGACTGAAGGACGCAGTTCGAGACGGGGACACGATTCGAGCCGTCATTCGTGGAACCGGTGTCAATGCGGATGGCAAGACGCCGGGAATCACGCAGCCCAGCTCCGAGGCACAGACCGAGCTCATCAGGACTACGTATGAGACAGCCGGTCTTTCGCTTACGGATACTCAGTATTTCGAGGCGCATGGTACTGGAACTTCTCTGGGTGTAGGTCAAGGATCCGCTTCGAAACTGATTGTTTTTGTTCCCAACTGACGATCAAGGATCCGATTGAACTTTCGGCCATAGGCAGAACCCTCGGCGCGGCGCGTTCGGGCGAGGAGCCGCCCCTCTATGTAGGCAGCATCAAACCCAATTTAGGTCACACGGAAGGCTGTTCGGGTATTGCCGGAGTGCTCAAGTCCATCCTGTGCTTGGAAAACGGAGTGCTGATTCCCACGGTCGGCATCGAAAAGCTGAACCCGAAGCTTAAGCTGGGAGATTGGAACCTCGCATTGCCGTCGCAAAACATGGCATGGCCTTCCAAAGGGCAACGTCGCGTGAGCGTCAATTCGTTCGGTTTCGGCGGAGCCAACGCTCATGTCATCTTGGACGATGCCTACCATTTCCTCCGAAACCACGGCCTCGTGGGAAACCATACCACTACCTGCTTAGAAGACGATTTTTCTGATTCAGGAATCGACCATCAATCAGACTTACGTTCGCCGTATCAAGAAGAGCCTAAACGACTTTTTGTATTCAGTACAAGAGACCAGGCAGGTATTGAGCGCCTGGCGCCTTTGTACGCGGATTTCTTGTCCAACACGGCGGCGACTTCTCAATTTTTGACGGATCTGGCCTTCACTCTGTCAGACCGGCGAACACAACTGGAATTCAGGAGTTTCGCAATCGCTGATTCATCGTCGGCGCTCGAGACTCAGCTGAGGAAAGGACTCCCTCAACTCAAAAGAGCGTCGAAACACGACAACCCCATCTTCGTTTTTACCGGCCAAGGAGCCCAGTGGCCTGCCATGGGAAAGGAGTTGCTCAACAACTGCATTTTCCGCACCAGCATTGAGAAGTCACAGGTCCTCCTGGAGCATTATGGCTGCGAATGGGATCTGGTCGATGAGCTTTCGAAGACTACGGACTCCAACGTGGACCTACCTCAATACAGCCAGGTTCTATGTACAATTCTCCAGATTGCTCTAGTTGATCTCCTACGAAGGTGGGGTGTTACGCCAAAAGCTGTGGTCGGTCACTCAAGTGGAGAAATTGGTGAGTGATATTGTGTCCAAAGAACTATGAAGAACCCAGACACTGACTTACTTCCAGGAGCAGCATATGCCGCCGGTCTTTTGTCTAGGTGTAACGCTGTTAAGGTGGCATATCTCCGTGGGATCTGCTCTGCGAAAGCTGCAGGCAACGCCAGTTCGCCCGTGGGGGCAATGGCCGCGGCCGGACTCTCTGAAGAGGAGGCAGCCAAGTACCTCGAGCAAGTGGCCCCCGGTTCTGTTGTTGTTGCCTGTGTCAACAGCCCTTGCAGCATCACATTCTCTGGGGATGGTGATGCCGTCACTCGACTGTGTCAGCAGATCTCCGCGCATGGAAAATTCGCAAGATTGCTGCGCGTGAAGACTGCGTATCACTCTCCTGCCATGCAAAAAGTTGCACGGGAGTACCTGGATGGTATGGGCACCATAGTCCCTTTGGCCACGGAAGACCAGGTTGCCCCTATGTTTTCATCCCTCACCGGTACCACAGTCACCGCTAAAGACCTTGACGGATCATACTGGAAAAGGAACATGTGTGAAAAGGTTCGGTTCGCACAAGCGGTTAAGACTTTACTTGAATACGTGCCGGAAGAACAGCAGGCAATGGGCCACAAGCGCACCCCGTGGAGCGCTTTCATTGAGATTGGACCTCATGCTGCCCTTCAAGGCCCAGTTGCAGAGATCACCGAAACCAATCAGAGCAAATCGGCAAAAGAGGCGCCATACTTCTCAGCGATCCTGAGGGGCAAAGATTCCGAATTGACGACTCTTGAACTAGCGGGGAAACTATGGAGTTCCGGCCATAACGTCAAGCTTTCCAGGGTCAATTTCATCTATCCCGAATCATTGCCAATCTCAATCCCGGATTTGCCATCGTATCCTTGGAGCCATACCAGAAAATATTGGCACGAGTCTGCTACAGCGCGATCAAGCAGATTGTCAAGGGGACCTCGCACTGATCTGCTGGGTTGGCCAGTAGATTTGCAAAACGCCATGGAACCTAGATGGCGCAATTATATTCGCATTCCGCAAAATCCATGGATTGAGGACCATAAGATTACTGGGACAGTGCTCTACCCTGCAGCCGGCATGATCGTGATGGCCATGGAAGCTGCATATCAGCTGCGAGACACTTCCAAACATCTTACTGGTATTTCTTTTCGCAACCTCAAGTTTGACCATGGTTTGGTCGTGGAGTCAGGGGATCAATCTGTGCAGACCGAAGTGAGCTTACGACCTGATACCAGACGTGCTTTCACTTGGGATTTTGCAGTGTACTCCATACAAGCAGGAGGAGTCTGGACCAGGCATTCCTATGGAGCTCTCAGCCTGGAATATAGCGGTGACGGCAATCATGATTCTGATACCGCTCCGGATGGAGCTTGGCCCGTTGTTTCATCCAACTGGGTAGAAATCCAGAAGAACGAATTCGAAGAGGTCGATATTGAAACATTCTACGACGAGCTTGAGGCAGTGGGCGTACAATACGGGCCGACCTTCAGGAATGTCTTTCAGGCAGGCATCTCCAATAACGAGCATTGTGCTGTTGGATGCATTAGTATCCCTGACACCAAGTCCACAATGCCTTACAACTACGAGTTTCCACACATCATACATCCGGCAACCATGGATGCCTTATTTCATCTCCTCTTTATCGCTTTCTCAGACGGCAAATCTGTAAGGGAAGCCGCTGTACCATACACGCTAGAGCATATGTATGTTTCAATGGATCTTCCTCAAGGACACGGTAGCGTCTTTAAGGGGTACGCCAAACGCCTGCGGATGGACGGGCGAGAGATGTCTGGTGATTTGGTTGTGTCAGATGAAGCCTGGAGCAGCCCCAAGGTGATTGCCCGCAATTTCGTTTTGAGGCAGGTTACTTCTTCTGGCGAAACAAACAATCACAGTTCAAGGCGTGTCTGCGCCAAACTTCGATGGAAGGAGGATGTAGACTTCACCCGCTCTCCCATGTCTCTACTGGGAAAGGTTGCTGACGAATCCGGCTTACCTTGCGACGGTACAATCTTGACGGCTATTTCGGTACTTTTTGACAGACTGCATCACAAGAATTCCGGCTATAGGATTCTCATATCCATGCAAGACGCGACGGAAACTTCCCGGGATTGGGTCCGAGCATTCCTGAATACTGGGGGCAACGGCGCCAACGGGCGTGTTAGAAAGGCGTTCATCGCCATCGCCACCAGCAACACCAACCAGTTGTCGGAAACGTCATTCACTGAGGAGGAGGGTCAGGTCGAGCTTAAAGAATGGAATCCCAACGGAGAAGAGATGTTTCCGTTTCGCAAAGAGACTTTCGACATTGTATTCATCATTAAAGCTCCGACGACCAAACAATCGGATCTTTCGGCCATGTTTACATTGCAAGAGTCTCTGGGTCCAATGGGAATTCTTGGCGTCGTCAACCTTAATGACGGCCTATTCTCGTCCACGGAGGTTGAGTCAATCATTGAACCTGCTGGACTGGAAAAGATTGCCGTTCTGTCAGATGGAATACAGGCCCAATCGCTCCTACTCACCCGCAAGTTGTCATCAACGAACGACGAGATGAAACCTTCAGAAGTCTTTCTCCTCTGTAGGACAGAGCGTTCATTGGAATGCAAGCAACTAGAGAAATTATTAGCGAATGGACTTCAGCTAATGGGTTGCGAGGCAAAGACCGCAACTTTGTTGGACACGGAGCAGCTCAAGGGTACACATGTCATTTCTCTGCTCGAAGTTGAATCACCACTTGTCAACAAATGGACCGAAGAAGAATTCACGCAATTTAAACGTCTCGTATCTGTCGTATCTAATATGCTTTGGGTAACCAGGGGCGGGATCATGGAAAGCTGGAACGGCGGCCTGGAATTTGCACCTTCTCAGGGTCTGATGAGAGTCATGCGGACAGAGTATCCGCACATTTTCATGCCGCACCTGGATCTTAGCAGGACCAGAAGTGTGCATTCCCCTTCTGTCGCCGAAACAATTTTGGATGTTTGGAGGGTTTCGATTCGAGAAAGAGGTCATCGTCAGCTCGAGATGGAGTACGCCGAAGGTGATGGTGCAATCTTTGTGCCCAGATTCATCGAAGACAGCAGCTTGGACGCAAACCTGAACATCCAAAGTGGTATTCCCCAGCCAGTCCAAGGAAGGTTATCGGACGACACTCAATGGAGATTGGACCGAACAGACAAGCAATTCATGTGGGCAGAAGAAGCAACCGGCAGTCGGACTCTCATTCAAGGCGAAGTCAAGATAAAAGTTGATTATATGTCGCTACAAAAAGCCCCCATTTCACCAGAGAGGGGCTCGAATGCCATTCAGGCGATTGCTGTGTCAGGCATCATACTGGATCACTTAGCGACAACCAAAGCTTTCGAGGTCGGCCAGCGAGTCGTCGCGCTTCACCCTGGCCCCTGTCATACGACCCTTGTTATCAATGAGGAATTCGTGCGACTACTACCCCCTCTCTCTGATTCCCCAAGCGTTCTGAAGACTATCACAGCTCTGTTTGCTGCTAATTATGCTTTGATGGAAGCGTCAAGATTGGAGAAGGGACAGACGGTTCTAATTTACGGAGCAGAGACCCATCTTGGGCAGGCAGCTTTGCAGCGAGCGAGTTTAGCTGGAGCAAAAGTCTTCACCACCACCAAAGGTCCTAGTGAGAGACTTGAGACCGTGTCCAAGAACAGTCTGGCTGAAGTATCGCGACAAATTCAAGGTCACGAAGCAGACATCATTCTGAACTGCATACAGGACGAGTTCCCATCAGGCCTCTTCAAGCTTTTAGCGCCATTTGGAACCTTCGTTGATGTTGGATACGGTCGAAAGTCAACAGAATCGTCCAAGCCACTTTCTTGCCAAAACGCAACTTTTGTCACGGCCAACCTGTCACAGCTTTTGGAAGCGAGACCGACACTTGCTAAGCGCATATTCGCCGAAACTGTTGATCTCGTCGAGGAAGGGAGAATTTCTCTTCGGTCCACAGATCGGACGGAGTCAATTTCCAGCCTTAATGGTGTTGGGACACAACTTGCCAAGAAGGAAGTTGGTGAATTCGAAGTTTTGCATGTTGATCGCAGCGTCAGTGTCACCATCCTACCAACCAGGATTCCCGAGCTCCGTCTCGATGCGAACGGTATATACGTCCTCGCTGGTGGCCTGGGTGCTCTAGGTGTGCAGATAGCCGAGTTGATGTTCAAGCATGGCGCAGGGCATGTGGTGTTTCTCTCTCGCTCCGGGGGCGAGAAGAACAAAGAAGTCCTAGAATCTTTCCGCCAACGCGGACTGAGCGTTGACGCGCTTCGGTGCGACATATCTGACGCATCACAACTTAAAGATGCCCTTCGGGAACTTCAAAGTGCTCGGAGGCACATCAAGGGCGTAATACAAGGTGCCATGGTGCTTGAGGCAAGTACTCCCAGTCCCTAATTGGAATAAATGCAGCACTGGACCATACCCAACATGTCTAACACCTTTGTAATATTAGGATGCCATTTTCGAAAACATGACCTTCGAACAATGGAAGAAGTCAGCACGGCCTAAAATACAAGGGACAATAAACCTGCACCAACAAATGCCGAGGGACTTGGACTTCTTCATCCTACTCTCATCCATCACATGTGTCATCGGCAACGCAGCTCAGTCCAACTATGCCGCTGGCAACACGTTTGAAGACGCTTTCGCCCACTTCCGCCGGAGCCAAGGCCTGGCTGCGACAGCCATCGATGTCGGTCTCGTGACAGACTCGGCTCATTTCACGGGCAACTTTGATATGGAGGCGTATTTGCAGATGTATGAGCACAGATGGGATGGCCTGCAAACCACTCAGTCAGAGCTCAATGCAGTACTGCAGGCGGCCATGTCTGGCAGAACGGCAGACGGGCGACCTATAGAGCCTCAGATTGTCCTTGGCCTGGGTTTCATGGCAGTCGGCTCCTCCTCCGCCTTGTGGACGAAAGATCCCAAATTCAATCACCGCATCAATCACTTTTCGTCCCGTCACGTAGAAACCGGGGCAAATATCGAGTCTGCCAAGGAGAGATTATCGAAAGCGGTCAACTTTCAAAATGCTGTTAGGGTTGTTGAATCAATTCTGAAAGGATATGCGGCTCACATTCTAGGCATCAACACCCAGGACGTTGATGTCGAGAAGGCGTTTTATGATTTTGGGGGTATGTGTTGTCCTACATCTCGCGGACTTTGGCACGTATTATTCTCTGACAGATATTTTGCTGATACTTCTCCCCTCACAGTGGACTCCTTGAAGGCAGTTGAGCTCCGCAACCGCATTTTCCGGGAGATGGAAAGTGACGTATCGGTATTTGAGTTGTTAAGTCCATCGCCCCTTTCCAAGTTGTCTGTAGAGGTGGCGGGTAAAAGCAAATTGTTGCGCTCACTGTCTGAAAGGGCGGATATATCATGACGGAGTGGTATAAGTAGAAGATGTGTAGTCAGATATGCGTATTACTCTCAAAATCCGCAGCTCGGTTTGATAATAGTCTAGAGGCTAGGAGATTGCACTGGAAGCAAGCGTAAAGGCTAAAACTGCACCTGGTGACAAGACGCTGCTGGCAACAGTGAGGCCGACATATCTTCCTATAAACGATTCAAGAAAAATCGACAGCCATTTGCTCCGTTTCTTCCACCGCCTAACTAGACCAGATGTTCCCAACACGAGGTCTGCAAAAGGAACCAGAACCGCTATGATGACGAAAATATCCCATTGCAAGAATACACGAGATCCGTCCGCAATGGCAGTGGGCAGCGTCAGATCAACGTTCCCAGCTGGCCTAAACACCCGGGAGAATCCAATTGAGGCAGCGTTGAGTAAAGCATATGCGTGACCAGCGAATGCGGCAATGCCCGAGAGCGTCAACGATGCGGCGACATACTTTTTCGTGTCTACAGGCCGAGGATGCCACGCCAGGTATTTGTAAACATTTCCTTGAAACCAGGTGAAGAATGGATGTGCAACTGTAAGTATCAACGGTGTGAACCGGTAAAAAGCAATCAGCCCCTGCCGCAGTTCCACGCTGCAAGCCGGGTTGAAGGCAGGATAGAGGAGCATGGCCGGGGTAATGGCGCCGAGAACAGTAGTCGGGAGTAACGCGAAGGCTTCATCCGCCGTTGCAGGGCCTATAATTTGATCGTCATCTCCACTCGAGTTGGTCTGTTGACCCAAAAACCGGTCGGCGTGCGTGAAGCTGTAAAGTGGATAGACAGCCGCTGCGCCCCATGCTTGGTTGAAAACACCCCAAAACATGTGCTCCCTACAGAATTCTCGGTCATTAGGGGCTCTTCTGTCAGTAAGTGAAACATTTGGATCTTACATCTGTGCCCACCACGGTCTTCTACCCCGCCTCCACCCCAAGACCAACATGCAATGCGCTGTAGTTTGCATCGTGGTGAACAAGCTGATAAGCAACATCTTATCCGCAGTTGACCCGTTGCTGAGGATGTCGTTGTAGAATATGACAGCTGGTACTAGGAACTGGTCTAAACTGCAAAGACCTGTAAAGACCGTTCGGAGACGGTCGCCATTGGGGAACATGCCGCTCTGCTTGACTGACGCGAATGATCCGACAACGCCGCTCCGAATCATCCTTCCCCAGAGGGAGTCGTAACCAGCGAGGCTCAATCCGAGAAAGTAGAGATGCATGGTAGTGCTAGAGATGTTGGCAGAAGGTAGGTATGTGGACAATTGTCATCTTAACACTGTGAGTGGCCAAACCGTACTATTTAATAATGCCTTCAGGACAGACTCATACCGAGCCATGGCAAGATTTGTGATGAAAGCCTTACTTTAACTTCCGTTCCCCCTCCTGCTACATCAAACTTTATTCCTGTCCACTTTGTAGCTGAAGTAAGAAGGGTACTCCCAGACGTCCTTATAGTACACTAGCGTTTGTGTGAACATCATGTAAAAATACAAATATCCTCCAAAGGCCATTGAGGCTAAAACTAACATCCCTGCCCAGAATGGATATATGACTGCCGGAAATGCCATGTGAGGCTTAATGACGATTTTCTGATATATCACGAACAAGCCGACTAATACTGCCGTTATAGTAAATGCGGTAGTGGCAGAGACCTTTTGTCTCGGACGGCCGGCTGTGGAATTATAGTTGAATTTAAGCCGATGAGTATTCCATGCCTCGGTCAACCGATCTGACCTTTCTTCAATGGGCTATCACAGCCATACAGTTAGCTATTTGTTGTTTACTTTTGTGACGACAAAAACCCACATCGCATTCCAAGACACCAATTTGGAATTTTTGTAACGTCTTGTAGGCATCCTCAGAATGGCCGACATACTCGAAGCTCTCCGTAGCATCGGATCCCGCGACATCTTTCAGAACCTCAATGCCTCCGGGATGATCTTCCACGTAATTGGAAACATCATACACTGTTGGCAATTCTCAGTAATTCTTCTCATGATGCAGACAATCAACTAACCTTTACCACGAATCGAGACCCAAATGTCCTTGATGTCATGATGTTTCGCCAACTCGGTATGAGTGAATTGCGCCATTAATAATGCTGTCACTCTGCAAATGTGCAATGTCTTGTCCGACTAGTGAAACCACCTGCTTGTCCCAAACAACATGATGCCTACCAATGTTCAATATTTACCAGGTTAACCAATGATCGAGAGGTACCGGATGTGGAAATTGATTGAAGGTTCGGTATCGAGAACGTGCCAGCCAAAAGTGGCATCGCCCGAGAGCATGTTTGTGCCTCGGCATGCTCGTTTTGGCATTTACCGAGCGGTCCTTGCATGGGGATCCCGGGCCGCTGCCTCTTGGAGGACTGGCTGCTTTCTCGGTAGACACCCGTCAGCAATGAAGTCGTCAGGCACCCGATAGGACCCAAGAATAGGGACCATGCAGCGATCGCCGTATATCAAAAACTCCATATGGCAGCACCTTGATCTCTTCTCATCGACTGACTAAGCCCAAAATCTAGCAGAGGGGTAATCATGTTCCAGCAACAATTCACGATTGGACAAGGAGCATCCGAACGGAGCCATGCACTGAGCTTCCCAAGCATCGAGAGCATTCAGGAGCTCAAGGCCGGCATCGCGCGAATCTTCTCCGTGTCCGACTCTAACTGTAAGGTTTCATAATCTGGTCACGTAGACTGCGTATTATTACCCGACAGGAGTTGACTGTCTTATAGCCATTTGCTTTTATCATCATCGAGACGTCCTCACATCACTGGATAAAATTGAGAACAATGAGGGCCCGGTGCATATCCGGGTGAATGGCGAAGTTGTGCGAGAGCCGCCTGGGCCAGAGCCGCTACCGTACGTAGGAAACCGCTATGAGCTTTACCCAGATCCGCTTGGCAACTATGATCGTCTTTTTGCTCGATACGGACCAGTCATCAAGACGACCAACATGGGGACGACCACTTACCTCACCAATGACCCAGATGTGTCTCGCGAGGTACTGCGTGATGGGGACTTCTTTACCAAGACCACATCAGATCCTAGTCACCCGCTATACTACATGAGGAACAACGAGGCTCTCTTCACTTGCGACAGTGATGCGCCAGCTTTCAAGTTGGCGCATAAGTTCATCCCGCCCAGCCTGACCATTAAGGCTGTTAGACAATACACGCCGACTGTCTTGGCATGTGTTGCGAGGTCCTTCAAAGTTTTTGACGAGCTCGATCAACAAGAGCTCGCTTTCAACGTTTACCAGTACACTTTCAAAATGGCCGGTGAAATCATCTGGAAAGTCATTCTTGGCATGGACTTGGGCCATTTCGACTCGATTGACGCCAGGCCTCATGAGACCATCCGACTTTTGGGGGAGTACCTCTCGCTCATGAAAAAGACATCGTTGCGGGGGAGCTGGTACGGTTATCTGCCCTTTGGCACGCCGAAGAGACTCAAACTCGTGCGAAAACTCCTCTGGGACGGAGTCGCTAAGGGCATCGAGGAATCGTCCAAAACTACGGGCGACCTCCCCATGAAAGACGCAGCGCTGCACTCAGCCAGCGTGGCCGACTACCTCCGCCGGGCGACCGATGAGCATGGGGAAAAGTTGCCCGAGAACCTCCTTCTCAGCAACTGCGTCATCATGATTGGAGCCGGTTTCGTGACGACGTCCTCGTTGCTCGCATGGCTCATCTATGCCCTGGTAAAGTATCCAGGGAACCAGGAGCGGCTGCTCCAAGAGCTCGTCGACTACGGCGCTTCGTCAGACAAGCCGTGGTCCTACGAAGAGCTGAGCGAGATGCCGTTCCTAGACAGGTTTGTGAAGGAGACGCAGCGCATGCACAACCCATCATTCCAGACGGCCCGGAATGCCAAACTAGACGTTGTGCTTCCGGGGGGGTACTTCATCCCAAAAGGATCCGTTGTTATTCCCACATTCCCTTCGCTACACAAGAATCCGGCTCATTGGGATAATCCGACCTGTTTCGACCCCGATAGATGGGATACTGACGCCGTCAAGAGACGACACAAGATGTCGTATACGCCGTTTGCAGCCGGAGCAAGGGGCTGTATTGGTTATAATCTCGCATTCTTGGAGGTCAAGAGTGTCTTGGCGAAGCTTGTATATCGCTATCACTTCGATAATGCCTCGACAGAGGCGGTCGTGTACGACCCCGAGTTTATTGTTGTTCGGCCGTTGAACTTTTACGCTCGGGCAATCAAACGGACAGAATGGCCGGAAAAGCACGCAAAGGCGTGATATTAAGCTATATTATTCTATTGGAAAATCCAGAGTCCAAGTTGATGCTTCCAACATCAAGGCCTTTGACTAGTTTCACTGATATCCAACCTATTGATCAATATTACTATACCAGTCAAAATTTGGTGCGTTCACTAAGGTGGCAGGGTGGTCATCTCTGCCGCAGACAGGGCACCGCCAATTAGCAATCACAAATATTAGAGTTCACTACCTCTTTTGGGCATTTCCGAGATCAACATGGGCATTCCCGGCAAAGTCAATTGTCCGTTTTGGCCGCGTAAACAATATGCGACAAGACAAGAGACCGTAGTGCTATACTAGAATTCACTGACTGCTCTTGTTCGAGTTCACACGATAATTGTTGAAACAGAGCGGCACGCAGAAGTGATTCATCTCTCCAATTATGACGACCAACGCATACACCACAGTTTCGGCCCAATCTTTCACCGGTCCATCGGTCGAGGGCCCGAGGACTGTGACGACGCAGCTTAGCGTCTTCGATCTAATTCCTCCCAGAGTTTATATCAAATTCATCATCTATCTGCCACTGAAGGCTGATATCAGCTTCCAGCAAGCATTTTCTTACTTGCAAGCTGGGCTTCGTACGACGCTCCAGAGATTTCCCTTCCTCGACGGGAAAATTTATCCCCGCGATGACCGAAAGTCAGGCTGGAGACCAGGGCATATCGTCGTCTCATATGATTCTGCTGGTCAGAGCGAACCCGAAAAGCCTCCTCGACAATTGCTATTCAAAGACCTGTCACAGGTCCTGCCGGACTACGAAGACATCCGCAACGGTGGATTTGAGTTCTGCGGGTTCGACGACCAACTCGTTCTCGACGCTCCGTTTGTGCCCGATCTCACAGGCGGCGCGGATGTGTTCCTGGCTCAAGCGAATTTCGTCAACGGCGGATGCATACTTGCGACCGGGTTCCACCACTCTGCCAGTGACGCCACCGGCATGGTGACAACAATGCGCGCCTGGTCAGAGAACTGCAGGCACCTAGACCAACCTCATGATAGTGCCATTTGCAGCTGGCTAGCCCCAGAGAGCTTCGACCGGACTCTACTTGAACGGCTGTGGAGTAAACATACGGCCAAGTCCACTTCCGAAATCCCGCGTGACACGTGGAGCTTCCTCGGCTTCCAGCCTCCGGGAGCAGAGGTGGACGTGGAAGAGCACGCGACCCCATCATCAGCCCCGGTCCGGAAAATGGACTCGAGCATATTCTACATCTCTCCGGAGAACTTCAACAACTTGAAGAGGGATGTTCTGGATAGCTCTCACGGTGATATAGATTTGTCGGCAAACGATGCGCTATTGGCTCTTTTCTGGCGCGCTATTATGAAAGCGCGTTATAACGCCGCAAACGCAACAGGTATTAGAGCCACATCGCCAGAAGAGATTTCCTACCTGGAGTCGCCAGTGGATGGTCGGCCGGACTTTGACCCGGACCTCCCATCGTCGTATGCCGGCAATCTCGTCATCGTCAACAAGGTCTCGATGCCAGTGGCCATGCTCGCTTCGCCGGAAACCAGCTTGGGCGACGTCGCAAAGCGGATTCGCTCACAAGCGGCCAAGGTGACCCCAAGCCTTGTCAGGGACGCCTTTACTCTCATGCGGGAGGTGGCGGACTACACTAAACTGAAGCATGCATTTACCCGTCTCGATGGTTTCGACGTGATGATTACGTCGGTGTTGCTGATGCCGCTGGACGAGATCGAATTCGGTGCCGGCGTGTTTGACAACGACGGCAAGCCGGAGTCGCTACGCCCTCTGATGGACGCCTTCAACGCCAACTTTCGCCTTTGCATGGTGTTGCCAATGAAGAGCCATGGCGGTATTGAGCTGCTGGTAAGCCTGTTTGCTGATGAGATGGAACAGTTGATGAAGGACGAGGAGTTTGCCAGGTATGCTGCTTTTTACTGTCACTGAATGAAGATGTAGAAGAATTCACCAAATCGGCAATCATTACACCAAGTGCTTGAATCTTTTTCCCCTGGTCACATGAAGCCTTTGTAGTAAAAGCCGCAAAATCCCCAGCGGGGACTACCAACTGAAAAAAAAAAAAAAAAGACACTTTTGTCGTCACAACATGGCCCGGCACAGGTCGCCACTCGGGAGAAATTATGGAGTGGTCTTCGAAGATTCTTGTTTTTATGCCCCGAGGTTTGACTCAATGCAATCTAATTTTATTCTTCTACCAACACCTAAAGCCAGTCATTCTGGCTTGCTCTGGGAATACCGAGTCTCTCTCCCAAGGTGACCCAAGCTGCTACAAAAAGCAAGATTCTGAACGCTTTCATATCGGCCTTTTCTCCAAACCCTTGAGCGAGGGCATTCTCCACCCGAACGTAGTCAACGAAGCCCAGATTGTCCACTTTTTCTCTCGTCAGTACCTTTCTGAGCAGCTGATAGAGCGGCCCGTCTTTTGGCCAGACGACTGGGGCTGTAAAAGGATGCTTTTGCCGCTCATATAGCTCTTTGAGAATGTAAGGCTTTGCTGCCTCCCTCAGAATCCACTTCTCCGTGAGAGCATGCGACGCAACGCCAATTCCCTCCCACCAAGGTCCCTGGTGTCTCTCAGGGGGTATCTTACTCGGAGTATAGGCTATCTTGAGGCTGGGGGGTAGGTTATTTACATATTCGGTGACCTTGTGGTCTAGGAAAGGCGTTCTTCCTTCCACGCTGTGAGACATCTCTGACAAGTCTCCCAAGCAAGTAAGGATGATATTGGGCAATGGCCCCCTGCTATACATATAGAGAGCGGTGTGAAGTGGGTGCCACTTCTTTTGCATCTTCTCCTGTATCTCAGGCTTGAATGAATTAACGACGACGTCTTTGCAATCCAGATTTTTCCACCTCGGGTTCTCTTGCACCCAAGGCGAGAATAAATCTAGTTGCGAGTGCCAAGCCAAGATGCAAGGTGGTAGAATGGTTTTGTTGACTTTCTCGATGGCGTCAGTCGTTTCCCACCCGTGCTCAAAAGCGCCTACCCGTGATAGGAGCAGCTTGATATCACGCTCGGTAGATCTCAGCAGGTTCTCCCTCAGCAGAGAATCTAGTACTAGTGGAGAATCAGGCATGGACAAATCCGGTTCCCGCAGCAAATCTGGAGGGAAGAAGGTGTATCCAGCAAAGTGTTCATCGGCACCCTCTCCGGTTAAGACAACTTTGACGCCATGTTCATTTGGAAGAGAGGATAACGCGAATTTTGCTACGCAATTAAGGTCGAAATGGTGATGCTCGCAGTGATAGGCGCAGTCAGCAAAATTGTCCGCTAGCTCCCTCTCGTTTATTTGTTTTTTCAGAAGTTGGACGCCTAGGTGTTCCGCTGTGCGTTCTGCGATATCTGCATAAGAGTCAGAAACCTCGGGTACTGGGTAAGAATCCTAAACCTCGAAACTAACCAGACTCGTCAAATCCAGACCCGTTTGGAAACTCAATTGTAAAACAGCTGATGCGGCTTGTCGCGTCTTTGTTACCTATCTTGACGCCCTCGTCTTTGATCAGGTGTGTGACAATACCGGCGACTAGTGAAGAGTCGATACCACCAGAGAGGTATATACCGATTGGAACATCTGCACGCAGCCGGAGCCGAATAGCATCTGTCAATCGTTCGCGGAGACCGCATATCATCTCATCAACGCTTCGTGTCTCTTGTTCAGTCTTTGCCATTGTCAGCGCAAACGCATCCCGGTTGCCCATATTTGGAACCCACTTTGTCTCTGAAATCAATATCCCAGTATTGATGCAACTTCATCATGCCGTCTTTCGAAACTTCCATCCAGTACCCTGGTGGAAGCTTCTTCACGCCCTGGAAAAGTGATCGCCCATCTTGCATCCACCCACCGTCAATAATTGCGCCAACATCCCACTGGGGTTTCCATCCCAGAGGCAGGAAGGCCTTCGCTTCCGGCGCCACAGCCAGCCTGTATATGCCATCTCTCTGGCGAATGATTGACCACAAAAGCGGCTTAATGCCAAAACGATCTCGTGCTAGAATGAGCTTTCCTTCAACTTCGTCGTACAAGACGAAGGCAAACTCTCCGCGAAGGTGCTCGAAAAGCTTAGGGACACCATACGCCTTATAAAGTGCAAGTATGACTTCACTGTCGCTGCTGCTCCTGAACTCGTAGCCTTGTTCTTCACACTGACGGCGAATCCTGTCGTGGTCGTAGATTTCGCCATTGACCACAGCATGATATGTGTTTGCATCACTGTGGATGGGCTGGTTACCTTCCAAAGTCAAGTCGTTAATTGCCAGGCGGCAATGGCCCAAGCCTGCATTTTGTAAGATTAACAAAGGGGTAATACATTTACAGCAATTAGAAGTACTAACCCACGAGGCCGTCATCGCTGACCCAAACACCCTTTGCGTCCGGTCCTCGGTGGCTGATGTTGTCAAGGCTCCGACTCAGTTGATCTCCAAGATCCTTGCTGTCTTCAGCATCTTTCTCAGTCGGCACCCCGTTTCGTTCCCCCGCACCATTGGCGTACCCGTTGAAACTCTCATTATGGAAATGATGTCCCGCCGGGAGAACCAAGCATGCCGAGATTCCACACATGGTGTTAAATAGTAGGTCGCTTTGGCAATTTGAGACAGACGGAGTCAGGTACCAAACACTGGGGATTGGCATACAGAAATACTTCTTTAGGTGCTACATGAGGCCACGCTCGTACTTTTATGCTCTAATTGTTGAAAAGCTGTTAGTAGGCTGGAGATCTGTAACCGGTGAACTGTAAATCTGGCGAGCACGGATTCAGCTGAATCCAGTCGGGCCGGGGCCGAAAATAGGTAGTCTGTTGTATACAATAGCGTTTTATAGTTAGTTAAAGCACGGCTACCCCTGCATTTCGGCCACCTAAAATGACAGCCACCTGTTTTCTCCTATATCTACCTGCTTTTAACTATCATCACTTTTTTCAGCCTTCTTTACATCGCTTTGTTTTTTTATTAAAAATCACTTCTTTATAGTCCAACAGCCTAGTGTACTAAAGATAAGATTAATGAGATGTAATAACAAAAGTGGACCCACAGCTACCACTGCTGCCACTGCACTTACATACTAATGTCCTGTCACGACATTAGGCGTTACAGGCTATCAGAAATAGCTATAGCTTTTAGAGGGCAGCATGTAAGTATAGTGTTACAAGTCGGTAAGGGTAATTGACTCTAGTATAAAGCAATAGCTTTGGTAATAATACCCCTGTATTATTGTCTTCTATTGTATATTCTATAGTGTAAGGAGCTGTAGTGCCTAATTCTACAATAGGGAAGTAGTTCTTGTATTCTAAACCTATCTATAAGAAGATCTAGATATTAATAATTCCTACTATAAAGTCCTATCTCTCAGTAATCTATACCTTCAGTGTTCAGTACTAGTAAAAGGTAGAGGAAGCTTTACTATCGTTATTATAATATACCCCCCCTAACAAAACATTTGCTTAGTAACTAGTCTAATAACATAGGTATTTATAGTAATAAATAGTTATGATTATTATTCTAATTTATGAGTGGGTAATATTCAATAGTAAGAGTAAATTTAATAACTGGGTGCACACTCGTACATAGTTAAGTCTGTTGTGTGGATACCCCCCTCTGACGCACACGGGTAGACCGGAACAGCTATGAATATATCATCTCTTTCCTGATGAGGGTAAATCGTTGTCTACTACATCATTGACGTTGTCTTTTAGAGCGGGATCGCGTGCCGTGACAGCGGATGGAGAGGCCAAAAGTATGGGGCCCGTTTTCCACTTAAAGAAAGATACGGAACGAGTGCCTTTGCTTGTAAGTCTAACTATGAAGGGCACTCCGCTGTTGCTGTGGCTGGCGGTGTGACCCCTCACCTCGTCTCGAATCCAAAACTTCTCATGTAAATTGGGCATCTATTTCCTAATCCAGTACTTGATTTCATAGCTTGAGGAAGCCATCGCAGTTGATGCTGGTTCTTTTACGTTAATCAGCAAGCCAAGGGTTTTCTTAGCGTGCTCACACCGAATCAACCAGATTTTCTGACCAAGATGTTGTAGTCGTGCCAGACATAGTCGTTGCCAGCGTCTCTCTCCCATACAAAAGTGTTCTTGTTCTCCATTTCCAGGCCGTAAGTAAAGGCCATCTTGGCAACGGTCAGACGGATGGATTGCAGTGCCATTTCACGACCGATACACACCCGGGGCCCCACTAGGAAGGGTCGGTAGCTCGTCCGAACATCGTGCTCAAACAGGGTTCCCGGGCCGTTGTCAGTCCACCGGTCTGGTCTGAATTTGTCCGCAAGCGCCCAGTAATCGGGTCTACGATGGATCGTCCAGATGTCGGCAGACACGTTGACTCCTTTAGGTACATAAACCCCATCGATCGTTGCACCCGGGGAAATGCGATGCGACCCGCGTCCGTTGATAGGCGGCGTAAGGCGGAGAGTCTCCTGGATGCACGCGTTCATGTATGGGAGTCGCAGTACGCTCTGCGCCGAGATCTCTGAGGCCGACGAGTAAGTTCCACGGACTTCCTCTTGGATCCTTCGATAGTGGGCAGGTTCCCGCAGCACGTGATAGAACAGAGCCGAGAGGGTTGTGGCGGAAGTATCATAACCAACCATGCTGTTCCGAATTTGAACTTAGTCGGAAGTTTCGAGAGGTCAGGGAAAAAGACTTCTTACGCGAAGAGAGCGGAATTGCTCAGAATTTCAGCATGGGTCAGGCCTGCCGAGTCCTTTGCGGAGAGGATGGCGGTAAGGAAGTCCTTACGCCCACTCTGACGTTCGATGCATCTACACGCTTATCAGAATGTAGCTGAGGGGATAGGTATGATCATCACTTACTCTCTGAGCTGATTCATCAGAAGAAAGTTTTTCGGGACACGAAAGATATGCGGCACGAGCAAGACTGGTAGCTTTGCAAGCCCGCCAAATATCGGAATCTCGGTGAGGAACTGGAACAACTCCAAAAGAGGCGCACCCCTCCCATAAGTGAACTTCAGCTTCTCATAAGCGCCTGTATCGTCTGTCAACTCACATCGGAAAGTAGGTGTTGTGGCTTGTCGTACTCATCTGGTCATGCAGCAGTGGCTCTCCAAAAGACAGGTCACCAACGATGTTCCAAATCATTTTCCCGACATGATCGCTGATGCTGACGGTCGTTTGCTCGGTCAGTTTTGCACCAAGCCTCTCTACAGCCCTGTCAACGTGGTGCTGGACAATTTCTTCCTGTTCCATCAATGCCTTCGCCGTGAAAGCAGGTTGCAACGCGGCTCTTAGCCGTTTGTGTGCCGTCCTTTGAGTGGTTGTGAGAAGGTTTGGCGCGGCCCAGATGAGGATTCCAAGAAGCGCCTCAATCGTCCCCTCCTTCGTGAAGTATCCACTGTCCGGCCCAGGGTTATGGATTGTCTTGAGGGCCTCCTCGGTTGCAAATGATAGTTCGTTGGGGCCGATTCGAACAACGGGTCCTGTGTGCTCTGCATCAGAGGGAGTCCAAGGACAAGAAGTTGAGGGGTTTAGGCTACAGAACTAACCATACTCTGCGTGAACTCGCTCGATGTCATTGTTTAGTCGATGTTTCGACACAGATTTAATGAGCCAGATCTACCGTTTTTTTGCTAAGCTATACCAATCATGCTTTTCCAATAATATGGATATCAAACTCACTGGGGATACGGCGGCAATGAAAGGGCCTCTAACATGTGCTACGGGATGCAGGTAATAGTTGTAGAGAGCTAATAAAAGCGGGAAAGCCGTGGCCTACAATCAATTTTAATATATAGATTTCTGTGTAATCAGTTGTTTGCTGTTTCTTTTACTTACAAAAAGCACCCCGTAGCCAACGAGGTTCGTATTTAACATCCAGCCAGTGGTGGGCCATCGAGTCAAGAGCACTAGGGCATGGCCGAACCGTTCACCATCAAATGAGCTAGTAGGCGAACTCATCGTCATTTTGAGATTGCTTCGATTGAACAAACCGTTGTCTGGCCTCGGTGAACTAAAGGATATCTTCGGGAGAAAGCTATAGCTGCTGCTTAAACGAAACATTATAGGTAATCAGGAGGCCTGAGTCGTATGTGAAGTAAGGTTCGCGTCATTTTTCACTCTCGCCAGGCCGTTCAGGTCTAAGTTAGGAACTGTTGCCTAGCAACAGCGCCTGAGCTTATCAAATTAGCTTTTAAGTTATAGACACAATAGGCAATGCCGATATTTCAAACTTACGCGTTTGGGCTGTTATGTAAGGGCGATGCCAGATGCTTATTCCTTTGTGTGCGGACTGACCTCAATACGTGCGATTTCCCCCTCAGGCCACGTCGGGCTGGAAAATAGTATTTGTTTCCTATCCGAAAAATATCGTAGCTGATACGGCCCAATCCAAAACTGGTCACTGCCGCTGTGGTAGAGGTCGAGGTTTATTTGCCGGATACTAATATTTAGCTAATTCCTTCCAACCTAATAATTTCTTTGGTCTCATTAGTGTTTTTTTGAATCGGGCAGAATTGTGAAATCGAGACCAATGTTCAAGGTTTTAATGGATTCCATAATTTTCGTCTGGCAATATCTGACATTTACCCCCGTTCTTCTCCTTACGATTGGCATTTTCTTCTGCTACTGGACAGGCGTCTATGTCTACCGCGTCACATGGCACCCACTAGCCAAGTTTCCCGGACCCAAGTTGGCCGGCATGAGCTTCTGGTACGAGTTCTACTACGACTTATGGCCACACAGGTGTCGGTACATGTGGAAGATTAAGGAACTGCATGATGAGTACGGCCCGATCGTTCGCATTAATCCGATTCACATCCACATCTACGACCCGGAATACCTAGATGAGATCTACGCGAGCGGCAAGCACAAGCGAGACCGCGACCCGTGGTTCTTACACATGTCAAAGAGCGGCGTCATGACCTGGTCTCTTCTTCACACCCAGAGCCACGATGTCCACAAGCAGCGTCGCGCGGCTCTGGCGCCCTTCTTCAGCAGGCGTGCAATAGCCCAGCTGCACGGCATGATAAGCCAGAAGATCGAGACGCTCATGGAGCGGTTGAGTCGCGTTCGAGAGACCGGAGAGGTCATAGACCTGACGTATGCAATGTCGGCGCTGGCAATGGACGTCGTGTCGTCGTATGCGTTCGGTGCCGATGTCGGAAACCTGCAACGCCCCGACTGGGGCAAGGATTGGCTGGACGCGCATCGGACTGCTGGTTATATCCGGCCGATGGGCCGTCAGTTCAAGTGGCTGGTCAACCCGGCGTTGATGTGGCTGCGCCCAGGCCTGGTCGAGAAGTTCAGCCCACGAACCGCCGAGCTCTCACGCAAGCTCATGTATCCCATGGAATCCATCCAAGCCGCTGCCGCGGACCGCCAACGCCACGGAGGCAAGCCGCTAGCGGCCAATACGAGAACTATTTTTAGTGATATTCTCGACAGCGACCTGCCAGACCACGAGAAACTTCCCGGCCGTCTTAGTGCCGAGGCTGCCGGAATCCTTGGTGCAGGCAATGAGGGAACCGCCAGAACGCTTGCTATCACTCTTTTTTATATCTATGATAGCTCTGAAGTATTGAGAAAGCTCAGAGATGAGCTAGAGAAGATTATGCCGCTGACTACTTCTAATGTCTCCCTTGAAACGTTAGAAGCACTACCATATTTCGTATGTTATTATCCTACTTTAGCATTCTTCCCCTAGCGGCACACTGACGTAGGCAGTCGGCGTCTATTACTGAGGGACTGCGTCTATCACATGGGGCATCTAGTCGTATGCCGCGAATTGCTACAGACGAAGAGTTGACATATCGAGATTGGGTCATTCCACCTGGGGTATGTTATTGCGAAACTTGGGAATATTGAATGATACTTACTCATGAGGGTTATTCAGACGCCAGTGATGCAGTCAATGTACCTGCACCATATGAATCCTCGTATATTCCCCCAGCCGTTTGAGTTTCTGCCACAGCGGTGGATTGACCAGCCAGAACTCAAGACACGCTACTTCATGGCCTGGGGGAGGGGTTCTAGGTCATGTGTGGGCATGAAGTTGGTTCATTCGTCCTCCTCCTCTTAAACCATTACTGACACTCGATTGATCCTGTGCAGTCTAGCCCATGCTGAGTTATACCTCACGGTCGCCCGAATTATAAGACGATTTGACCTGACTATGTATGAAACTATTCGAGAACGGGATGTTGAGGTTGTTCATGACGGATTCATCGGAATGCCAGCTTTCGACAGTCCGGGCATCCGGGTAACAGTTTCTCATGAATATATGTGGCAAGGTTAGAAATGCTTGTGCGTGTCTTGTTCTCTAACATATAATTTCAGAACGCATATAGATACGCAGATCACTACCAAGTTATCTATTAGTAAACATGTAAATTGTCTAGAGCCTAGCTAGACTATAGTGGTCTCCTGGGTTTATTTAACACTATACTCATAACACACTAAATTACAACCTGATTTCTATAGTGTCATAAAGCTAGAATAGCTTTATACAGCTAGTGCTAGCAGCACTGCCACAGGATATAGTATACTACCTGTATAGACTATATAGAAAAGTATTTCTACTACTTCTCTAGTTTATATCTAGTTTCTTAATAGGTTAACTACTTTTCTCTTATATAGTAAAACACTATAGTTTATTGTAATTATAAGCCTAGCTCTTATATAAAGAAGGCTTTAAATATTATAATTAAATCTAGTGTTTATATCTTTTACTTTCTTATTTTAAAATTGTTTTCTAGTTAATCTTAATCTATAAAGTCACTATAACTAAACCTAAGAAGTTAATAGACTTTAATAAGTTAATTAAGCTAGTTACTAGGCGTAATTTATTAGGTGTTAAAGATAAAGAGCACTAAGGGACTACTAGCTAGAGGGCTATAACTAGGAAAACTATTATCTAAAGGTTATATAAAAGCAGAGTTTATAGAAACTAGAGAATTAGGAAAAAGTAAAAGAAACTAAAAAGAAAATACTTAATTAAATCTTAGCCTTAAGAGATAAAGCCTTTATTAAAAAGGTATATAATATACTAAGCCTAGGTATTACTTTTTAGCTAAAGTATAAGTAGCTTTATATTAATATATTATTAAAGTAGTTACTTTTAAACTAATATATAAAAAGTATATAAAATAACCTTTAGGAATTTTTATTTAAGCTAAAAAGATATATTAGTAACACCAAGGGATAAGTTAATATAGTTAACTATATATATTAGTAGTAATTAATAAATAATAAAGGTAACTATAGTTCTCTATTATATATAAAGAAAAGAAGGATAATTATTATAGGTTAGTTAATTAAATAGCTAACTTATTGCCTATAAATCCTTAGAGAATCTATAGCTAAATATCTAAGGATTTACTAGTAATAAGTTATTAGGGTTAACCTAATAACTCTAATATTTATCTATAATAGTTAATATTATAATACTAGTAAGTTTCTATAGTACTAGAAATCCTCTATTATTTATATCTAAAAGAATAGCTAAAAAACATAATAAAAATAAAAAGCTAAAAAATATTTAATACTTTTTACTTATATAGCCTATTATATATAAGAAACTATTAGTTATACTAAGGGATAAGTTAATATAGTTAACTATATATATTAGTAGTAATTAATAAATAATAGGGGTAACTATGGTTCTTTATTATACGTAAAGAAAAGAAGGATAATTATTATAGGTTAGTTAGTTAAATAACTAACTTATTGCCTATAAATCCTTAGAGAATCTATAGCTAAATATCTAAGGATTTACTAGTAATAAGTCATTAGGGTTAACCTAATAATTCTAATATTTATCTATAATAGTTAATATTATAACACTAGCAACTTTCTATAGTACTAGAAATCCCCTATTATTTATATTTAAAAGAAGAGCTAAAAAATATAATAAAAACAAGAAGCTAAAAAGTATTTAATACTCTTTACTTATATAGCCTATTATATATAAGAAACCTATTTATTTATCTATATCTTTAACTACCTATTACTAACTAGCTTTTTTAATATATTATTTAGTAATAACTTTATAAATTTATTTACTAAGTTATTACTACTATAAATCTATTATATCTTAAAAATCTTATAGTGTTTATATAACTAGTAAAGGGCTATAATATCTATTATAAGTTACTTCTCCTTTATAGTACTAAGTTTTATAAGGCACTTATAAAGTAAGTATAAGTTAGTGTAGAGTATTATAGGTATTTATAGTAGCTTAAGGTAGTTAGTAATTATTATAAGAGTAGTACTAATTATATAAGTAATATTAGTACTAGTAATTATCCTATAGACCTTAGAGGTAAATACACTATATATAACTCTTTTATACTTTATTAAGCTAAAGTAGATAATATTACTAGTTAATTTAAAGCTTTTACTATTAGTAGTAGGTTACTTAATAATTTATTTATTAGTAAGGACTATAATAAAGCTAAGTTAAAAGGTAAGGTTATAGTTATTTATAAATAAGCTATTAATAAATATAAAAAGCTTATAATATAGCCTTCCTGTTAGCTATTATAGATCTAATAGGAGGAGCAAGGCTATAATAGGTAATATAAAGTAATATAGTACAAAGGTAAAGTATAACAGTAAAGCAGTAAAATAAGGCAAATAATAATAAAGAGCTAAATAAATAATATAGGACAAGAGCTAGGTATAAGTATAGGTTATCTATTAAGGTTACTCTTCCTTATAGGAGGAAATAGGTAATAGAATATATACCCCTAGGTATATACCTAGATATATACTAATAAGGTAATCCTATATTTTACCTATTTATTTACTATATAAGGCACTTATCTTATAATAAGTGCCTTTTCTCTAAAGGACTTTATTTTCTTTTACTAAGAAAATATACTAAATAGTAGTATATATAAATATAAAGTATAGAAATTACTTTTCTTCTTATATAATAACCTTATTATTTATTATCTCTAAAGTTCTATTAAGATTATTTAGCCTTTAGTAGTACCTAGGCTAGGTTATTATTATTAGTATTATAGTAGTGTTTATTAGCTTAGCTGCCCTAGGTTATTAAGGCAGTAACCTTAGGCTAAGTAGCTAAGACCTAAAGGTTAACTATAGCCTTCTATTTATTAAGCTTAGTAGCTATTTAGTTAACCTTATCTATTAACTCCTTAAATAGGCTACCTTTAAAAGTAGTTAGTATATTAAGGTTATTAGACTTCTTATTAAAGAGTATAACTTTAGTGTTTATTTAGTCTACCTACTTCTTAAGTTCCTTAAGGTACTTCTCTTGCTTATATACTTTATTAGCCTTCTTATAAAGGTTTTCTATAATATTATTAATATTTATATTAAAGGTATTAGTTTTTCTTATAATATCCTTAGTAAGTTTAGTAGCTATATTAGCCTTAGTATTATATTTATTAATATTACCTTTATAGCTATTAACTATATTAGCTAGCTTAGTAATATTCTCCTTAAGCTTAGTAATAGTGTATAGTTACTTTCTTAGCTAGTTAAAGTAATAAATCTCTAAGATAAAGATCTTATTAAAATATTAAATTAAAAGAAGTATACTTATAACCTTTAAATTAAATTAACTAGGTTAATAAAGAAAAGTAAAGCTAATAAGTATAGTATAGCTAAAAATATTATCTATATAAGGCTTACCTTTTTTATACTTAGTTAAGATAGTATTTATTAAGGTAGTAATTTTATAATAAAAGTATATATTTAATATAAATAATAATTACTATAACACTATAGAGCTACTCTATTACTAGGTATAAAAGGCTTTAACCTAAGCTATAGTCTCCTTATAGAGCTATTTATTACTACTCTTATAGAAGACATCCTTTAGGTAATAGAGGGCCTCCTTATAGGTAGAAATAACTAGCTCTAAGCTATAGCCTTTTTACTTTATAAAGGTATAAGGTTTATATACCTAGTTATTAGTATTATTAGCTTCCTTAGTAGTAGTAGCTTTAGTATTAGCCTTATAAGCTTAGATTTATTTAAGGACTTACTTATTAATAGGTTTATAACTAAATAGCTTAGTTATTTCCTCTATATAGTTATTAATCTCCTCTAGGGTAGTAATTACTACTAACTTCTTATATATAGTAGTAGGCTTCTTTAATTCTCTTATATTATTATACTTTCTTATTTCCTTAGTAAGCTTTATAGCTACTTTTATAGTATTAAAAGGTTTTCTTATAGTAGTAGCTTTATTTTAGAGTTACTACTAGATTTTATTAAAAATAAGCTATCTTTATTACTTATAGTTCTTAAGTAAAGGCTTTTACTATTTAATATATTCTATAGCCTTATTAGTGTTCTCTATTATATTCTTAGGTAAAGAAATATTATTACTCTTAATACTAAAGATATTAAAGTTTATACCTTTATTATTATTATTATTATTCTTATTAATATTATTATTATTCTTAGTAGCCTCTTTTTTATCTTAGGACTAAGGGGCTAGTTAGTTAATAGCTATAAAAGATATATTATAGTTAGTAATTTAATAGTAAGGTTTCTACTAAGAATAAGCTAGGGTTAATACTTAGTTAACAGTAGTATAGGCTTACTAGTCTATTAATTACTTAGTAATTAGTTAGGTAGTTAATAGTCGTAAAGGTAGCTTATGTAGCTCTTGTTAATTAAATCACTAAGGTTAAATACTAAAAGTTATTTAAATAAATTATATTACAAGAAGTTAATTACTAAAGAGCTATAAGAGTCTATCCTTAAGTGCGTCTAAGTCCATCCTATATATAAGTCCTAATCCCTCTAGATAACTAATAATTTATAAGTAATTACTGTCTTTATATAAGGTAAGCGCTTAGTAAACACTAGTAAGCGCTTACTTTAGTAATTACTAGTAATTACCTTATCTTTATAATTACTTCCTTATCTTTATATAACTTATACTATAGTTCTTCTAGGTCTAAGGGGACTGTCTTATTCTAACCTATTGTTAGTTCTTGTATAAATGCTATACTGCTTACTAGTTATCTTGTCTAGTAGGGCAATTATTACTTATAACTTATTAGGTTATAACATTAGGTCTCCCCTTTAAAGGTCTTGCCCTTAAGACCTATATAAGTAGGTTGCTACTCCTAGGTTAAGAAGTTATTAAGTTCTTTATTCCTTGTTTTTCTAGCTAACGTAATATCTAGTAAAAAGGATTATTAAAAAGCTTCTTTAATATAACGTTATTTAAAGCTAGCTTTAGAAATTAAAGAGTTTAGTTTTAACGTTATACCTTATTCTTTCTATTAGTTAGTAAGTTATTATTATAAGATGCTTATAGGGAAGTTAAAGTATTATAAATATACTTGTTGTAGTTATTTATATAATATAACTATAAATACTATTTATAAACGTAGGTGTTCCCTTATAGCTTTTCTACACTAGCTAACTTACTTAGTAGTAGATTATCTCCTAACTAAATCTAATTAATTAGATTATA